CCGCCGTTTTTGAGATATCGCAAAAATTCGCGAGGGGGGTAAAATTTACCCCCCCAGCCCCGCGCGGGTTATACTAAATGTTTGCATAGTTGACCGAAAACGGAGCGAAATCAGTGGATGGCTGACACGGTATTGCGGTATAAGATGACCGTGAATGTATAATCTGTCTCCGGGGCGGCGGGGCGGGCCGGGTCGCGCTGTCCTCCGACCGGTGAAAGGACTCCCTATGAACCGGCCTCGGCGGCGGATCACCGGGGCCGCAGCGGGCCAACCGGTCACCGCCTCCGTGGCGGCGTCACTCACCAGCCCGGCGCTGCTCGAAACTGACCAATCCAGCCGCGGCCGCCCCGTGACCGGAACGATCGGTTTCGCCCGTAATTGAGCTAACGTAATTGAGCTCTGTTACGAGATACAGCGACTAGCAACCGATTTCAATGTCTCGGGTCAATTGTTGACCACTGAGGTCAAGTCAAATGTTCCAAAGGAGGGGTTTGATTATTGGTAAAAAGTCCAACGTGATTATAACTCAACGTGAATACACGTGATTGCAGAGTCGCGAGTTGAGCATCATCGTGTTCGTCATGGTCAGGCGCGCCGAATGATATACTTTTTGCTTGGATGAGGTCAGCTTAGGCTGTTGACCTCAGGTTTTGGTCAGGTCAAGGCCCCTCTGGTCACAAAGTTAGTCTGAGGAGGTCAAACTGCACATCATTCGATTCGGCAGGTCTATCTGGGTCCCATTGGTAGCTTTCACGACTGGCTAGCTCAACTTGATCGGAAGTTATTGACGAGCAACGCCGATTGCACCAAGCAACCTTGGTGTCGTTTTATGACATCATGCAGGGTCCAAAATGCAGAATTTATGCGCCGCACCTTGCTAGGAATGTAAAAATCACAAGTCAAAGTGCTTAGGATATGTGATATAGGGCCTTAAAATGCATTTTGCACATCTCAAAACAGTCCTGCGACCGCAAATGTGGCTGCATCAGGGTCATAGCGTAAACGATATAGGAAATGACGACTTGTTCATAAACGTTCATGAACTGTTCATGAACAGATGACCTTGATTGGAGGGATTCGTACACTATTAACCCGCGCCCCGTAGGGCTATTGGCGGACCCTGCCAGCCGTATGGGGGGCCGTTTTGGCCCCCCCCCCCCCTAAGATCTCAGAAAGTTACCGTCCGATTTTTAAAATTCAAAAGATGTTGGATAGCCCTACTACGGAGCTACCTTGTGACCCAATTTCATTGACCTCGGTCCAACCGATGACGTCACAAATCAAGTCAAAGATCGAATTTTCACCGTTTACAGGCATTTCAAAAAATGTGTCGTAAAATCAAGTAAAAGGCATGTTATTGAAAATCATCGACGGGGGAATTGTTCGTAAGACACATATTTTGCTATTTGGGGTCATTGACATTTGATACCAAGTCAGGTCACTGAGGTCAGGTCACTGAGGTCCGGTCACTGAGGGTCACAATACCGAAAATGTCGTGTGACACATGTTTTAGGGTCCATTTTGCATGACAAATGGGATTATGTGGGTCAGGCAGCCTTTGGGGCCAGTTAAGGTTATGTTCTGGCGAAGGTCAGGTCAAGGTCAGGTCAAATTAGGTCACATTTCGAAGTTGATATATTTGCATAAAATTGGTATCGATTCGATGCAGCTCGTCACGGGGAGTCTAAGGGTTGTCTTTGTTTTGCGCTACGTGGTCTAGAATTGCCAAAAATTGAGTTTGAAAATTTGACGTCATCATTTTTGAACAGTTTTTTTTTCGCTATAACTTGGCCAAAAAAAGAAGTATCAATCTCAAATTTGGTATGTGGATAGAAGGTGGGAGGGACTATCATATATATTCCGGTTTTTCGGAAATTCGAAAAACTTTAGGAATGTTCCAGCTATTATATCCAAAAAGATTTTTGGGGGTCAAAATTCAAAAACTTCAAAAATCCGAGACAGCAGTTTTATAGCCCTGTTAATTCTACACCTTTTATATTTCATCATTTTTCTGTATCTTCAAAGCTGTAGGCCTGACAGCTCGTAGTAATAGAATGCTTGTAGCAGTAATCATTTGTATATACGTATTTCGGACCGGTTTCAGTGCATTCCAGCATCATCATCAGCGATAAATTTTATCGCTGATGATGATGCTGGAATGCACTGAAACCGGCCTGACAGCTCTTCCCGTGAAACCTTTTTTGGGTCAGAAATGGCAGAACATGACGCCATTTTGACGTCATTTGCGGCCAACCTATCATAGTCTCTGGGAAAATGTTTGGTCACAATATGTAAAATTGATGCCCGGAGGGTTCCTGCAAGTTTGGCGACGATATCTGCAGTCATTTAGGAGATATGGACGAAGAAGGACGGGGGGGGGGGGCGTCTCGGCCTCTCTTACGGGGCGCGGGTTATAACTGAACAAACAAACAAACGTTTTTTTACGAATTGATCATTAACAAATGTGCAAACAACGAACCCTGCTGATTAAAGACTACAAGCTCCTAAAGCATGTTTTTAGGTAGGTGAATAGTGAATACAGCACCATTCAGCATTTGTAGTTAGCATTTTCCGGTAGCTTTTAAATAGCTTAATATTAACTCCAACAAAAAAGTAAGTCCAGAGACTCATATCAACGCTGATAGGTAGGTGATAACTGATAACATCTGAAAGGTCTTGAAATCACAAATTATCACAGACTCGTATCAAAACTCAACGAGAGCCCAAGTAGTACACATAACAAAGGACCCGAGAATGCTAAAGCTCGGCAGACGAACCGCTGCCGGTTCGGATTATAACAATGGGATCAAACGGTCAAAATGATGGCGGAACTTCGTTAGACTGCTTTCCGTCAGATACTGTGGCAGCGGCAGCCTACGGCAGGGCGACATATCGCAGGTATTTGGACGTGCCGCCTCCCACCAGGGCACCCCGCGTTTTTCCTCGACCCTGGATCACACTCCAGAAAGGCTTCTACGCATCGGATGGTGGTTTTGTCGGGGCGTTAAACCCGCTATGGCAATAAATAGCTGCCCAGCCATTCGGCTTCTGAGGTAATGGGAGGACACAGTAGTTGGCTATAAAGGCATCGTCTTTTTCTCGAGGGACTAAAACCCGCCCAAAGCCCGCTCTTTTTATGCTTGTTTCAGTTAAAATTATGGAGGAGCGATTCCCGGAGACTGACATAAAAAGCGGCGTGGCAAGGCAGAATAGCGAGGCAAATGGCATGGATTGTGTGTGTGTGTTTTTTTCTCTTTTTTTAACAGGCAATTCACCACCAACATTGAAGCGTAGAAAAAGGAGGCAGCTCGATCTCAAATAGTACCAGTAAAACACCTTTTGGGCGAAGAACGAGCGAGCGAGATAGTGAGCTCTGCACGTGCGGAAGGGCGAGAGGATACTTACTTCCAACGGGCTTGTGCAAAGCACCCTTCTAACCGGTTGCTAGCGGTGTGCCAAATTTGAATGCAATCGGCCCAGCCGTTCCTGAGATCTGCAAGCGGCATTCTGCACGTGCGCACGTACAAAATGGGTCCCAACTGACTTTTGCACGGCACCCTACTAACCGGTCCCCAACCGTGTACCAAATTTGAGCGCGATCGGCCCAGCCGTTCTCGAGATCTGGAAACGCCCTCTGCACGTGCGTACGTACGTGCAGTAGCACCCTAACCGCAACATATGGGAATGTATTGCCTGGTGGGTGCCTACTGTAGGTATGCCAAGTTTCAGCGAAATCGCCCCAGTAATTACCGAGTTACTGAAATGGGAACACATTTGACACCTCGTCTTTTTGCATTTTGCACGTGCAGTGGGGTCTCTCACATAGATCAAGAGTATCCGACGTTTGGTGGAAGGGATGCTGCTATCCTACAAAAATTACCGCAAGACCATCACCCAGGCGGCTGCTGATATATGAGCCTCTCAAAAATATACTTTGCAAAACAGCTTGAGCACCCTTGACTTTTCACGTGGCACGTGACATGATCGTCCCTGAAAAGTATCAAGAGTACCTAGTCATTTAAGGGTATAGAAGCCAATGAATAGGACTACCCCACAAAAAAGACCACAGGCCAATCGGTCCAGCGGTTGCTGAGATATGTATTAACCTCTCAAAAGCGCTACAGGCCGGGCCGGGCCGTGCCGCTCACACTGAGATTTTCCCGTTATATTGAAAAGAGTTCGCTTCACTCGCTGCGCTCGCTCGCTCGTAATCAGAAAGCCAAATTTGCGGCACCATCATACTGCCAACCATTCAGCACGCCCAGGCTCTGTCTCAGTCTCAATCGGAGCAAACGCTCTCAACACCTTGTGAAGGACCCGGAACGAATACATCCCGTTTGTCGAGAACTCACTTGTCCGCACACTTTGATGTAGGCGAATTAGCATGTCTTGACGCTAGTTGCTTTCACTGCAAGCTGTTTTGCCTTTACTCAATGATAGAAAGTGTTCAAGAGTTTTAGTTCAGACCACGCGGACTAACTACCTGGAACCTTCAATTCCAGATCTAACTCGTCAATAAAAAATATAAGAATGATAGGAGGGATGCCTTCGCAACGCATACGATATTCATGGTATTAGCAAGCATGTGCCAAGTAATTTGTCAGTTCGTACCCCAGAGCGTCTTTCTCTGAAATGTGCTCTGTGAAGGGGCGGAGTACCGAGCGCCGGCCCTCCTCCGCTCCGCTCGATCGCCGGGTGCTGCTGGCGCCGGTGAGCCGGCAGACCGCCCCTCCACGTGCCAGGGGCGCCTCTCTGCACCGGGCTGGCCCGAGTGGCACAGGCCGGCAGCATGAAGGACGAGCGACGGTCCGTCTCCGCTACGTGCCACTGCAGTGCCACCGGGCCACATTGCGACAGCGCCGCCAGTGCGGACGGACGCACGCATAGCACACACGGCCCGGGCCGGCCGAGCTCCACCGACCGGCCAATAAACCCGGGGCTGTAAGTATGTACCGCCCCGACCGGACCGTGCGTGGATGGGAGCCGCAGCTCGCGGAGGCCGGTACGGAAACCGGCCACCTGGCGGCCGGCGGCCCAAGCTGCGGGCACGCGCCCGCCAGACGCTTCATCTGGGCGGGCTCGCCGGCAAGTGGGCGCAGTTGGTGTCCATCCGAGCTCCTGTGCACCGGCCACCTCCTCCTCGGTGAGTAGCTCAGCAGGCCGCCTCCCTCCCCAGAGTAGCTCGGCAGGCCGCCTCCCTCCCCAGAGTAGCTCGACGGGCCGCCTCCCTCCCCAGAGTAGCTCGGCAGGCCGCTACCCTCCCCCAGAGTAGCTCAGCAGGCCGCCACCCTCCCCAGAGTAGCTCGGCAGGCCGCCTCCCTCCCCCAGAGTAGCTCAGCAGGCCGCCTCCCTCCCCCAGAGTAGCTCAGCAGGCCGCCTCCCTCCCCAGAGTAGCTCGACGGGCCGCCTCCCTCCCCCAGAGTAGCTCAGCAGGCCGCTTCCCCCCAGAGTAGCTCGACGGGCCGCCTCCCTCCCCCAGAGTAGCTCAGCAGGCCGCCTCCCCCCAGAGTAGCTCGACGGGCCGCCTCCCCCCCCCCCCCCAGAGTAGCTCGGCAGGCCGCCTCCCTCCCCCAGAGTAGCTCAGCAGGCCGCCCTCCCCCAGAGTAGCTCAGCAGGCCGCCACCCTCCCCAGAGTAGCTCAGCAGGCCGCCTCCCCCCAGAGTAGCTCAGCAGGCCGCCTCCCTCCCCCAGAGTAGCTCGGCAGGCCGCCTCCCTCCCCCAGAGTAGCTCAGCAGGCCGCCACCCTCCCCAGAGTAGCTCAGCAGGCCGCCTCCCTCCCACAGAGTAGCTCAGCAGGCCGCCTCCCCCCCCCCAGAGTAGCTCGGCAGGCCGCCTCCCTCCCCCAGAGTAGCTCAGCAGGCCGCCTTCCCCCAGAGTAGCTCGGCAGGCCGCCACCCTCCTCAGAGTAGCTCAGCAGGCCGCCTCCCTACAGAGTAGCTCGGCAGGCCGCCTCCCTCCCCCAGAGTAGCTCAGCAGGCCGCCTTCCCCCAGAGTAGCTCAGCAGGCCGCCTTCCCCCAGAGTAGCTCGGCAGGCCGCCACCCTCCTCAGAGTAGCTCAGCAGGCCGCCTCCCTACAGAGTAGCTCGGCAGGCCGCCTCCCTCCCCAGAGTAGCTCGGCAGGCCGCCTCCCTCCCCCAGAGTAGCTCAGCAGGCCGCCTTCCCCCAGAGTAGCTCGGCAGGCCGCCACCCTCCTCAGAGTAGCTCAGCAGGCCGCCTCCCCCAGAGTAGCTCAGCAGGCCGCCACCCTCCCCAGAGTAGCTCAGCAGGCCGCCTCCCCCCAGAGTAGCTCAGCAGGCCGCCTCCCTCCCCCAGAGTAGCTCGGCAGGCCGCCTCCCTCCCCCAGAGTAGCTCAGCAGGCCGCCACCCTCCCCAGAGTAGCTCAGCAGGCCGCCTCCCTCCCACAGAGTAGCTCAGCAGGCCGCCTCCCCCCCCCAGAGTAGCTCGGCAGGCCGCCTCCCTCCCCCAGAGTAGCTCAGCAGGCCGCCTTCCCCCAGAGTAGCTCGGCAGGCCGCCACCCTCCTCAGAGTAGCTCAGCAGGCCGCCTCCCTACAGAGTAGCTCGGCAGGCCGCCTCCCTCCCCCAGAGTAGCTCAGCAGGCCGCCTTCCCCCAGAGTAGCTCAGCAGGCCGCCTTCCCCCAGAGTAGCTCGGCAGGCCGCCACCCTCCTCAGAGTAGCTCAGCAGGCCGCCTCCCTACAGAGTAGCTCGGCAGGCCGCCTCCCTCCCCCAGAGTAGCTCAGCAGGCCGCCTTCCCCCAGAGTAGCTCGGCAGGCCGCCACCCTCCTCAGAGTAGCTCGGCAGGCTGCCTCCCCACAGAGTAGCTGTGGAGGCTCCCCGGCACCTTCCCGTGCGTTCATGCCGGTTCCAGCTCTGCGGGCTCCCCTGCCCCTCAGATAAGGTCTCCGTGGGCTCCCCAGCCCACTCCTCCCACCTAGCCCTACCGCCGACATCAGGTCTCCGTGGGCCCCTCCATGTCCTCACAGGAACTCTTCAGGCTCGCGGATCTTTCACAGCAACAGCGACGCCGAACCGGATTGACCGGTGACCTCATCAGCGGGGATCGACCCCCTTCCCCGCGACCTCCCTACTGCTACCGAAGTCATACACGTGTGCGCCGACTGACATGAACAGTGAACACTTCCCTCAGACGCGGGGCGGACCCTCTATATGACAAGGACTGCTAGTGCGGCGGTAAGGGGCAGCGTGTCAGGCCCAAGCTGCCAGCTAGCGCCCGCGTGCCTATTTAAAAAGAAATGTATGCTTGTTTTTTTATGTGTCTAGAGTACCTATTTCTGCACCAAAACAGTTAATGTGTTTAATTTCCATCAACAACACCAGTCAGCATAGCGTATCTACAAAAAAAAATCTGGAAACCATTGCTGTCTAACTCGGTCCATATTCAGGTAAACGCCCTTGAAGGCACAATTCACACTTCACAGTAAAAGAAAGAAAAAATGTTCATCAACGTATCCATTGAATGGAGGCAGATAAATATTCAAATTCATGTTATGCAATTTCTTACGCTCATCACACATACCTACGATTATTATGGATAGGTATTCGCAACCCTACACCCCACGCTATCCCTAGCACTGGAGTAAAACCAGTGGCTTGAAAACAGCTTGTCGCTTGCTTCAAATAATTCATCTGCATGCAGCTGTGGCCACATTGAGCCGAAAAAGTGTGCTGAAAAATACCCAGTAAAACCATGTGCACGGCCAGAATTACGTAGGTTTTGCGCGGGCGACACACGTTATGACGTTATATTATCCGTGAATGCATTGCAGGTGATTCCAAAGGGAAATTAATTATTTAGGTTTCAGACACACCATCACTCGGACCCACATTAGGCACTGCAGACCAGCCAACCTTTCTACGAGTCACTAAGTTTGTTAGACTCATTTTATGTCGTTTTTATGCTTTTATGTTTACTTTTTAATTTTGTAATCATTTTTTCACATAAGATATCGTCTGGTGTAGATATTCTTCAAAATGGTGTGCGTGGCATGACTAAATCTGCAATCTCAAATACAGAAGTCCGTTTGGAACGGATCATAGCCATTGCTATATAAAAAAGCATATCACTTAATAAATATCGGGTTCCAACTTCCAACAATACGACGGCAAAAAAAGAAAACTGCCGAGCTAGCACGTCTCTCTTGAAAGTACCTACCTACCGCGCATCAGTGCGTTAGATCCATCAAGCCCAACCAAATGAAGGCTGCCAAAATTGAGAGTTGCCGAATGAAATGGGTCTTCTGGGTCAATTGGTTCCAAGACTCTCAATTCTAGCAGCCTTCCCTCATTTGGGCTTGATGGATCCGACGCACCGATACGCGGTAGGTACTTTCAAGAGAGACTTACGTCAAATGGTGTAGCAGCAGTGAACATTAGACATTGAGCGATAGGGAGCGGGCGAAAGGCCCGAGCGTATAGCAAAGCGCTATTTTCTACAAGCCTCAGCAATGACCTGTCTCTTTAATCTACAGTGTGAAAAAGGACATCTTCTTTAGTCTACAATGTGAAAAAGGACATCCAATTGCCATGATTCCCGATTCGGACTGGTCAAACTAGTCACGACAATCAGGTCAGACATGACAAAAATACAGGGGCAGCCGCCGGTGGCCGGTTTCTTTAACAAGCGTCGGGTTAGTGCCGGTCATGTCGGCGGCAGCGACGGGTAAGTGCCGGTCATGTCGGCGGCAGCGACGGAGACCCCGGAGGCCCGCCTGGTGCCGGCGACCCCGGCCGTCCCCTCGCCTGGGCCCCGATAACGCTTCACGTGCCTGCCTCGTGTGCTCACCGCTGAGCCGTTCGTTGTTGGTCGTCCCGTCATCTGCTGTGCCGGCTGTGGGAAGACGCGACACCGGCCGGACCGGGGCGGCGTCACCGGCCTTCCGGGGCCGCCGCCGCGCCAGCTGCTCGGCTGACTCGGCCGCCCGCTCCCCGGCGACCCTGGGTGTCAGCACCGGACACCGTCCACGGACCGGCTCAAATCACCGGGACCCGGTCAGGTCGCGTCGGAAGGAGACGAGTGGACCGATCCCTGACCAGACACGACGAATCCGACCCAGCCGGTTCACTGGGACGGGGAGAGTCCGGCGGCCGCCGCTGAGCCCGACGGACGCCGACCTCGGTGACCGGCTGCCCGATCCCATCCCTCACCTGATCAGCAGTGGGGCCAGTATATTCTCTTTCTTTTAATGTGATACTCATACATTTTTCTTGCTGTAGCCATTATTCGCTTCTTTATTCAGCACTGAATAACTATGAGTCCCACAACTCCATGCACCCGTGCGAAGGGGCCGGACAGTGCCGGACCTGGCCGGATTTGAGATTGGCGGGCCGCTCGGCCCAAGGCCGGCTAGCCGTGACCTTGTTGGGGCGCCGGGGCACATAGCCCTGCTGCCGCGCGCGGCGGAGATGGCTGTCCTGATGGTGCCGACACCGACTGGCACCGCTCATCGTAAAGCAGCGTCCAGACGCCAAATCAGCGCCGGCTCGGCGCCGGCGGCCGTGCACCTGCCAGACACTCTCCATTTCAAATACACACCCGAGCTGTGCAGCCGGTGAGTCAACTGACCCACGGCTGGAGACGGCCGCGCCGCCCCGGTCTGACGCAGCGCCGTATCTCAGACAGCCGCACCGCCCCGGTCCGAGACAGCCGCGCCGCCCCGGTCCGAGGGTGGACCGGCGCTGCAGCTGTGTCGCGGCGCGCTCCCACGGCCTCCGCTGGCCGGCTGGTGGTGACGCAGGCGCTGCTGGCCGGCTGGTGGCTGGTGGTGACGCAGACGCTGCTGGCCGGCTGGTGGTGACGCAGACGCTGCTGGCCGGCTGGTGGTGACGCAGATGCTGCTGGCCGGCTGTTGGTGACGCAGGCGCTGCTGGCCGGCTGGTGGCTGGTGGTGACGCAGACGCTGCTGACCGGCTGAGCCCATTAGCCGTTCGCCGCATGGCAGACCCGCCTCGAGCCACCGCGCGGTATCGGCACCGCCGCGCCGCGGACAGGCGACCGCTCAAGGACACCAGAAATATAGCCGACCGTCTCGGCTAATTATTGGGGCTCGGCGCAGCTCGAGAAGTCGACGTAATTTAGGGCCGACCTTTGTTGACATACACGAAACCGGCGGTGACGTGACAAGGATTTCGGATCTGCCCGTTTGACTGAAGGTTAACCCTCGCCGGCCGAGGGGGGGGGGGGGCGGGTGCCGCCCCCCATAGGTATTTTTTGCGATAGCTCCGAACACGCTGGCGATAGAGAGCTGAAACTTGGCATACCTGACCTTTGATCCAAGCCGCATCTTTTGACACCAACCGCATTTTTGGGTCAGGTCAGGTCACTGACCTATGACGTCATAAGTGAACCTCTGCACGGTCTTCAGATGTCGCAACTTCGCAACGCCCTCACTGCCAGAGGAGATGTCACAGGGAAATGAAACTTGCAGGATCTAGTATCCATTATGAGTCCCACAACTTGTATATCTCGGATTTTTCCTAAAGGTCATATGAGGTCAGGTCATTTTCGTGACCTCACCATTATAAGTCAATGGGGAAAAATTCAAACTGCTATTCTGGCGCCGGGAACGATCTCCAACTATCTCAAGCACACAGAATCGTAATTTTATGCACTCCTTGCAAGGTTAGATGCGTCACTTTTGCAATGTTGACCTTGCGTGACGTCATTTATGACGTCATCAAGGTCATATTAGTTTTTCGTCAATAACTCTTGATCAAATTGAGCTAGCGAGTCGGGAAAGCCACCAATGGACTCAGGAAGACCTGCAGAATCGAATGATATGCGACATGACCCCTTTCGACCAACTTCGTGACCTGGGGGTGCTGACCTGACCTTGACCTGAGGTCAACACCCCAAGTTGACCTGACCCGGACAAAAAGTATATCATTCGACGCGCCTGAGCGAGACGAACACGATGCTGCCAAAATCGGCGCTCTGCGGCCGTTTTTTGCGAAGTTATTCACCAAAAACTGAACCGTACCTTGGGGCACTTGACCTGACCTCTGAGGTCACCGGTTGACCTAGGACCTTAAAATCGGGTACCAATCTCTGCGTCTCGTAACGGCGCACACGCTCGTTTTTTCCGCGACGCGCTAGCTCCACCAGGGGCGAAACGGCGAGGGGGGTCGTACCCGCCCCCCCCCCCCCCCCTCGGCCGGCGCGTATGTAGAAAACCAATAGGTCCGGCGAGGGTTAAACCGTTTACTGGGACACCTGCCTCCCTCAGGCGACGGCGAAAACGCGGCCGATACGGGCGGCCCCATCCCGATGTCGCCAGAAGGCATTCATTGTCAAAGCCAATTACTGGCAGCATGCACGGTGTATGCGGCGAAAAAGCGTCTTTTGTACTGATTGGCGGGATTTTCATTCAATGCTTCATTGCTGACGGTGTCAGGTTGTCAATCATCCCGCAAAAAGTATCAGTACACAGGCCATTCAGAATTTCAGAGGTGCGACTGGGCGCGGGTCAGGTCAGCAGTGCCTCTATGGGACGGCGGTGTCGGGTCAGCAGTGCCTCTATAGGACGGTAGCACCGGGATGCCGTGCGGATCCATTGCCGCCATTCGTTTCATTTGTTCGGCTCCGTTTCACCGCTGTACGGACGGGTGGTGCCGCGCCACTGTTCTGAAACGGGCCCTGTTCACACCTACCCGGGCCCCAGAGCGCCCCGGCCGATGGACTCGCATGGTAATGGCACCGGCCGCCGTACTGGGTGGCGACGACCGCCCGTGCCATCCGGCAGTGGACGCGCGGGTCCTGCTGACACCGCGCGCCACACCGTCCGCGCAGCAGGGGCGTCTCGGCCCGGCCCTCTGCCCGGTCAGCCGCCAAAGCGTAGACAGACTGTCGCGCCGGCCGCGGGTCCACACGAGGGCCGGCGCGCGCGCAGCACGGTGGCCGACGAACGGAGGCGCGGCACGGCCGGCAACGTGCTGCGACCCGGCACCATTTTACCATCACAATTCGCCGACAGCCGGCCCGTGCTCTGTTTGTGGGTCGCCGCCCCCGGAGCGGCATTGTCAGCAGCTGACCTGACCCGGCCGCGCGGAGAGGCTGGGCCGCGGCCGACGCGGTGTCGGTGCACCCCATTGTCCGCCGCACAGACCGCCGCCGCTTACACAGCTCGGTCCAAGTCACAGTGTCAGTGGGAGCAGCATGATGCGCCGACTGATGCTGAACTGGAGCACGGTTACGGCACAGTCAGCACCTGATGGCGCCAATATCAGGACACCGCATTCTTCCAGACATGCGACGACTCATAGCAGCCGCAGGTTCAGATATTCGATATTCGTTCAGATATCCCCTCCGAAGTAACTCTAACAAATCGACGACACCGGAAAAAAAATCCTCTAACATATTTCCTACGCATTCTTGTACAAACAGTTCATTCAACTGAGCTGCGCTGGGCCTTTGAACGTCTCGTTCGGCCGACGGTACGGCGTTAGCCGCCCTGGCTGTATTCACCCTTCCGTGTCCGTCAGGCGGCCATGAACCGATGCATCAGACGGTTAGTCATGCCGTCTAAATGTCCGTCCACTGGACAGGATATAATACAACCAGCCAGTCACAGGGTCTGCAGGCCCCATTACAATGAGCCCGCGGCGGAACACGGGCGTTAGAGACGCTGTGCACGTCACGTGGGAGGGTGGCGGCCCCTGGCAGCCCTGACCGGTCACCCTGGAGGGCCCCCTTACTGTCGCCGGCCAATGACCACCGGCGGCCCATGGCCGGAACTGGCCACTCACGTGTCTTCTGTGGCCGGTTCCGTCACAGTTCGGCGGCCAGAATGGGCAGACGGCAACCCCGCGGCCACCCTTTGACACAGCAGCAGTGAGACGTAGCGATGGATTCCAGGGGTCTGAGACTGAACCTGACCGGTACGTCAGCGCTTCTACAGGCCGCTAAACACCCGAGCCCCACTTCACCCGGCCGAGTGGTTGGAGCCAGAGTGGAGCGATACCGACAGTTGGGCGGCGACCCGGCCCGGCCCGGTCTCGGCGCGTCCTCACCGGGCCGCCCCTCGGCGCCGCGCCGGTCTCCGTCTCCGGCGCCAGATCTATGGCGGCCGTCACGGGGCAGGTCATTGTACCGGCGCCGGTCGACTCCAACAAATGGCCGCGCGCACTCCCGGCCATAAATAGCAGAGGTCGGCGCGCCGCTACTCTGCCGACCGCATCTCATGTCGCGTCCACTTCCGCGTCTGTCCGCGCCCCGCCCGCCCCGCCCCGCCCCGCTCGGGGTCGGGCCGGGCCGGTCGGCGGCGCCGAGGCCGGTTACGGGTCGGCAGGCCGGCGCGACGGCCCATCCCCGAGCGCCGGCTGATGAACCCCGCCGGCCGAACTCATGAGCCGGTAGTCAGGCTCGGGCTCCCGTCTACATAGGTGGGAAGTTCCGTCTGTACGCATCCGTTCCGTTAGCCGGGGTAGCCGAAGAGACTTTGATGACGTGTGATGGAGTTTGAGGCAATGGGCGAACAGTATGGCCGATAAGGCAGGACGCATAAAACAGATCTGCCTTATCTGGCCTTCATAAAAACATATGCATAAAGTGACATAACATATGAAATATAAAGATTAGCCCTCTGAACTTCCGTGACCTGACCGCAGCCCTCTGACCTTAAGTGACCCGACCGCAGCCCTCTGACCTTCCGTGACCTGACCGCAGCCCTCGGACCTTTAGTGACCTGACCACGGCCCTCGGACCTTAAGTGACCTGACCACGGCCCTCGGACCTCTGATGACCTGACCACGGCCCTCGGACCTCTGATGACCTGACCGCAGCCCTCGGACCTTTAGTGACCTGACCACGGCCCTCGGACCTCTGATGACCTGACCACGGCCCTCGGACCTCTGATGACCTGACCTCTGTCTGTTTCAGCCGCAGCCGCCGTGACACACCGATACAACTATGGCCTCCTTCAGAGTTCTGTTCGTGCTGGCGCTGGCCGCCACGACCCTCGCAGGTAACGACCTCAGCCCCAGGTGGGCCGCGGCTCATCTTGGTGTCAAGTTGCTCCGCCGATATCAGTTCGATAATGGCAAAAATGAGGTCTACATAAATATATCCTACTCAAACAGGTGGTTGGCCGCTTTAGTAAACATATTTCCGAAAACTTAGGTTTCAAAGTTTTCATATATTTTTAATTAAAGTAGTACAGTCTTAAGACTCAAGAGACTTAGGTACTTAGTTCATTTTCCAAGTGGCTGAAGTCGGCCGCCTTAATGGGCGCCAGGGCACCCCCCCCGCGAGTGTGTTTTCACTAGTAATTAGGAACCGAAGAGGTCTTGTCCCGTGAGCTGTTGCACGGGGATGGTTGTCCGAGTGTCGACTGCCCCGCTGACCGTCGTTTCCGACTCGGCTCCAGTTCCGATGGCGCGTCCGTCGGCCATCGAGGCCACCGTTCATGACGTCACGGACGGCGCAGAAGGTGAGAGAGCACGCGCCGCGGCCGACCCTCCCTGCCCACCGCCCTGCCGACCAGGCAGTTAGGTTTGTTCTTAGCATCACCTTCTCGCATCCTCCTACTCACCATGTAAAAATCACAATGCCTGCTGCGGTACAATGGTAAACAAATGTCGGCATACTAACAACTGTACAGACACATAAGAAATGTGTGCTTTTTAACATGTACGGTAGTAAACATAAAAAGGAACAGATTAACACTTTCCAACGCCGAATCCCCTGGCTGTTGTGATCACTGCTGTCTCTTCTCTCCCAACTGACCAGTGACCTCCTGTCACACTGATTCCGACCGCGGTCACCGGGTGGGCCGAGCCACCGTTGGCGCGGCGGGCTGCGGCCGAGCGGCGCGCGCCGGTCGCCGTGAGCGCGCTCTGACGGCGCCCACTGACACGTACTAAACTATGCACCCATGCCCGTAGCTCGGGTTGGCCAGCAGCAGCACGAGCTATCCGCGCCGTCCACCCGAGGGTCGGCTGGCGGTTTTCTGCGGGACACGCTGACAAAACCATGAATACCATGAGACCATGCAAATGGCACCACTGAAAACTCGGATAGTTAAGGTGGCGCAACTGAGCCATGGGCATATGAATTTCTCAGCACTGTTGCTGTAGGTGTCGCTACTAAGCCCTCAACTGGTGTAGGTGGCGACACTGAACCCCCAACTAGTGTAGGTAGCGACAAGTTGATCCCTCAACTGGTGTAGGTGGCGCTACTGAGCCCCCAATTCGCGTAGGTAGCTACGTTGATCCCTCAACTATTGTATGCGACCATACTGAAGGCATCCCTGACTAGCCCTTATTCCCCGCGCAAAAAGCAAAAAGCAGCCACCCACGCGAGATATTTTGTAGGAATAAGCATTCGAAATGGGGCATTTTGGTAGAATGCGCTTCTGGTAGACCAAAGACTGAAACGCACGCCCAGCAAGATCCGCATGCACCCTACAGCTTGGTTGTGGAGGTCTGCATGTAACATGGCTTGGAGAAGATGCACCGGGTGTGTGGAATCCGGCGAGCATCGCGCATGACCAACACATCCGACTGCCGTTGCCAGCAACACCTAAACCTAACAGCCGCGGATCTTTGATTGGGCTTCGGAATGACGGCATTGGTCATTGGAGCAAAGGAGCTCAGCGGTACCCACTACCACACCCATGTAGGGTAAGGTGCCTAATTAGCGACCCCCTTAATTTGAACCGTCATTGCTCACGCTCTGTGGGTGCCACTGTATTACTGGCTTGATTTTCGGAGAGATCGTTCATTTTTCTATTAAAATATAGTCATTTTCTGCCCCAATATTCACTAACTTATTTGTAGTGTGCATTTTGGCAAACCATTGCAAAAAACGCTAATAGGGAACTCTTTCCGATTAGCGACCGGGGAGGGTCGCTAATAAGTCTATGGGTTTCCCCATATTAAAAATGGCAAAAAATGCGACGCCTGAAAAGATGAAATATGATCTCAAAAAGGTAACCTATACGCAAAGCACTCAATCACTCGAACATGCACGTTTATCCAACACATTTACGTAAGTAAAAACTGATCACGTGATGCACTGAAGGCGAAAAGAAGGCGGAAACCCAAATTTTGCGGGCTATCTCGTATGATATTCGAGGTCCGCGCTGAATTCGGCACCCCTGCAGTCGGTGACGACATTTGACATCCCCTGCCACACATTGCAAGCTTCAGCAACATCTCATTTTCATTTCTCTCTTTTCCCCTTTCTTTCCCTTCTTGAGCTATTTGCGACCATGTCAGGCGCAAATAGGAAATATGAGTTGCGACACATCTTTAACCGCCATGCTGTGCACAGTTGAGCGATTCACTATGGGAAAACGGCAATCAATTGAAAAAGGAATGTCGATTCAGAATAAAAAAGGTGCATCATCCTAATGTGCATCGCTTTTCATCAGAGAGGGCCCAAACACACACGTTTTGGATAAGAAACTCGTCATTTTTATTTAACCTCACCTGAAACGTCCCACCAGAAACATCGACGACCGGAAAATAATTTAATTTGCTAACCAAAGTATGGCTGACTTTTTGACGATGTTTTTACCCCGTTTTCTCCTGCCAGTTTTTCTGTAGGGTGGTAGGTCGCAAATCGGAAAGGGTCGCTAATTAGGCACCTTACCCTACATATAATGCGGAGGAGAGACGATATAGAGCACTTCTTCTCTGCCGAAATGCCATATGACATTACAACCATCCCAAAATGCTTTGGAATTCTTTGGAACTTCATTATCTTTGCTAGCATCCGGACACTAACAATGGCCCGTTTATATTATATATAATGATTTTCCATTAGCGGCGAGGACTAAACAGCATTTATGTGTAAAGGTCTTAAATTTTTAATTTTCGACGAAAATTTTGCTTATGTTGCTAATAGAAGCTGGAGGATTATTATTTTTTGCGTGGAGCCGAAAGGAAAAAGAATATTTTGAGAACCTGTCGAAATCAATAAATATCGTCGTAGCTCTCGTGTTTCGAACGGCGCCCGCTAGGTGGCGAGACGTAGTTCCAAGACGGTGTACCAGACGTCTCCATTGTCGCGGTCGTTTCAGCCTGTTATCACAACGGCGAAACGTACGAGGATGGCAGTCGGATCGAGGACCCGAGCGATCCGTGCGCAGTGCGCTTCTGCGTGGGCGGCAGCGTTCGCAGCACGGCGCTGCAGTGCATCGTGCGGGACGACTGTGAGCCGCGCCACCTGGCGGGCCTCTGCTGTCCCAGCTACGACCACTGCGCCTCGCTCGGTTAGTCGGCCTGCCGGTGGGCCGTCCTGGACTCGGCGGCGCCACAACCGCCCGAACCATGTCCCCGCAGTTCCACTCTCCGAAAGCCCACTGCCTCACCGTGCTGAGCTCGTGGACTAGCGTCCAGCTCAGCGGGCGTAGAATCTTATTCAACAAACACACGAGCACTAGTGCAGGCGCACACTGTGCGCCTGCATCTTTACTGTCCATTACGTGTCATCCGCATTCCACAACCGTTCTAAACCGCAATGCCTGACGTCTGCCCTGGCGCGTTTCAGGCAAGTTCCCGCAGGGTGCGGCCGAGCCGTACCAACCCGAGGACGACGACCCGGAAGTAGTCGCGGCCGCCGAGGAGGTGAAGGCCGCTGCCGAAGAGGCCGCTGACGAGGCCGAAGAGGCCGCTGATGAGGCCGCCGAGGAGGCCAAGGCCGAGTCTGAAGAGGAGGAGGCCGACTCGGAGGGCAGCGGGCTCGAGGCCGACGAGTCCGACGAGGCTGACGACGACTCGTTTGCTGCGCAGCTGGTGTTCGACGAGGACGCCATCGAGGCCAGCGGCGTGGTCGCCGACGACGCCGAGCACGTGGAGGGCTCCGGCGTCGTGGCCGACTTTGCCCGCACCGCGGCGCTCCAGGAGCCGATCGAGGCGTCCGGCGCGCCGGCACAGGACGACGCCGAGGCTGTCGAGGGATCCGGCGCCGACTACCAGTTCGACGGAGCCGCGAGCGAGCAGCTGCGCTTCGCCCTGGAGGGGTCTGGCGAAGTGGCCTTTGACGCGGTGGAGGGATCCGGCCGACGGGTCAGTCTAGACGAGACCTCTGAGCCGCTGCTGCTGGAAGCGTCCGGTGAGGCGGCACTCGACGACGCCGAGGGTTCGGGCATCTCGCACGAGCCCGAGCTGGGAATCGAGGGCGAGGACCTGCTGAGCAGCAAGTAGATGCGCGCCAGTCGGTCGGCACCAGCCTTCACCGGAGTGAGCCGTCCGGCCGGTGGGCAGACTTGCCCGAGCCGCCGCGCCCCCGGTCCAATCAGGAGACACAAAACTGTGGCATTACACGCGCGTCCGGTCGGTTTGTGATACATACATGTCCGCTGTTTCACGTGCGTTGCATGGGCGTTGACACACTAAAGCTAATATTTATTTTTGTGAGTCGCGCAAGGCCTTCGGCGGCTTAGGAGAGCCACTGCGGTCGCCCACCACTTGGGAATGCGTCCGAACAACGCGGCTGCCAGACCGGCCAGTACCGCGGCCCCGTGTCCCTGTCCGCCAGTGGGAGACAGCACTGTCTCCAAGTACATCTTCCAGTGGTACACGGTTCGGGGTGGACGATCTTCCGCCAGAGATGAACCATTCCCTTAGCGCCATTCCTCCAAACTGTGCATCAATTAGCGACGGTTAGCCAGCATCAGGTGTTGTGTGCAATCAAAGACTGTAGCTGCTTTGGCTTCATTCCACGAGGTGAAACGTGGTCCAATAAAAGGCGACAAAGGATCGGGATGTTTGAAAAAGAACATTTTACTCTAAAACGTCAAAGGAGTATTGGAAATAAATTTCAAAGTTGGAACACATTCACCCCCACAAACTTCTCATCGCATTAGAAGAAATGATGCGTCATATTTGTTAAGCATTTGAAAAGCGATGAAACCATTGTTATGGTTGTGCACTGCTAAGCGAAGTAATCAGTGTACGTACATTTATGCCATTTAAATCCCATTAGGGCTAAATCGCCTAATCCTCCACTATATAACCCGGCAGTTGCTGGGGTATTTCGCCACCCACCGTTTGCTGGGGGGGGGGGCATTAAACGCCCCCAGCCGATAACCCGAGAACCAATAGGCGCAGCGAAACGCACGAGGCGGCAAACGAAAGAACGCGACGAGACGCTTCAGATGAGTACTTTAAAATTGAATTTTGAGGTCACAGGTCGGGTCAAGGTCAGGTCAAACACCTGAAATCGGGCTTTCAGTAGCATGGATTTCAGAACAGAACAGATTTATTTGAATAAGATCCACGATTACATGGCTTTTCACTTACTCGCGTCTGAATGGTAATACAATGGGAAGTTGGAACAGGCACACGGAAATGACTACAAACATTCGCATACCATGCATACACTCGCACCAGAAACGATATCGTGAATCAGAGAGATCCAGCGAACAGCCTGGCATCTGCCCGGAAAGACAAAGTGCCAGGCTCAATGCCGCTGTCGTTCAGCAGTGACACACCGCGGTAACAGAGTCGCCGCCTGCCGGCCTCCACACGGATGGCCGGAAGGGTAAACGAGTCCGCTCGCCTGGTGTTATGATCATGCCGCTGGTGGGCTCGCTGTCCGAAGGTCTTAAGAAGAAAGTCCGGATGACCTGACTTCATCGTCCGCTCGACTGCACACAAGGTATGGTAAGCCACCAACTGTTCGGCCGTGATCCAGCCGAGGCTCGATATGGCACCCGAGATGTGATCACATCGCCTTTTCCCGGTCACGACACGTGCGCAGAAGTTGATGGTCTTCTGTACACGGTGCAGCTGTGTGCTAGTACAAGACCCATACACCGACATGCAGTAGCGCACAATGGATAACACTAGAGCTTCTGTGATGCCCTTTAACCCGCGCCCCACTGGGGTCTGTGTATAACACGCCCTACTGGGGGGGGCTATTCATAGCCCCCCCTCCTAACTCCGAAACTACTGGGCCGATCGTCAAAATTCAAACGGCGTCTGATAGCTCCGGAAAACTGTCGAGCGAAACCTAATTTCATTGACCTCGAGGTCACCGATGACGTCACAGGTCAGGTCAAAGTAAAAATTATTAGCACTTTGGTTTGTTCACATTTTGGGCTCTGGCCGCCGTATTACAAGTCAGATCAGGCTCATTTTTGGTTTCCACACTCGTGAACAGATGCTCTAGATACCTTGAGGGTACCAAACTTGTACTTTGATTTTCAGGTCAGGGTCAGGTCATCACAGGTCACGAAAATATTATATCATGCGTCGGTCACGTGACACATGTTTTATGGTCCATTTAGGCCAGAGATTTCGAATTTGATGTCGTCTATGTCATTCGAGGTCATTTTAAGTCGAATTTAGCTTAGGTCAGGTCACTTTCAGGTCAAAAAAGGTCAAATTTTGAAGTTGAAATTTTTCAACAAAAAAGGTGTCTATTGGATGCAGTTTGAGCTCAGGAACACGATGGTGCCATTTATATTGGTGTACGATGCCAAATACGTACTGAAAAATTGATTTGAAAAATTAATAATTGTGAATTTTTTGCAATAATGCGTATAACTTGGCCATTTTTGAAGATATTTAGCTAAAACTTGCTAGAGTTAGTCATAATCATGCGTTCTGTAACATATATTCCGGTTTTTTTCGAAAAGTCAAAAACTTTTTGAAAAAAATATAAAAATACAAATTTTGAATATTATTATATAAAATTTTCGAAATTTTCAAAATTTTGAAAATCCGAGATAGCAGTTTGATAGCGCGGTCAATTCTGAGTTCTTTCATGCAAAGAAATTGGATCTAGCTTAAAAACTAAGCTCTTGGGAGCGATTGCCGTGGTTCAATGTTTTGCGTCGAAATCGGACGAACATGACGTCACTCTGACGTCATTTCCGGCCGACCTATGGTAGCTACGAAGTTCTAATTTTGACACAAGGTGTCAAATTGATGCAGCCGAAGGTACTGAAAGTTTGGCGTCGATCCGTCAAGCGGTTTGGAAGTTATTGCAGAAAAACGGGAGGGGGGGCTATAAATAGCCCCCCCCCCCAGTGGGGCGCGGGTTAACACAGGTCTAGGTATGACGTGACGTGCGTGACTTAGGGCTATCAGAATACCGGCGCACTTATGGGACATATTGTCTATCTGAGCCTCAAAATTTAGATGCCTGTCAAGTTGAACACCGAGGTTTTTAACTACTCCTGAGTCTGGAATGACATCTCCATTGAAGGTCAACGTCACAGGTGGTACATTGCGCAGCATTGAGGGGGTACCTAGCACTAACATCTGCGTCTTCTTGGAGTTGAGCTTCATACGGTTGAAGCAAAACCACTGGTACAACATGTCGAGTGCGTGCTCCATACGGGCGACGAGCTGCGGTAAGTCACACTTTCTGCCTGTCACTATCAGTTGTGTGTCGTCAGCATACTGGACAACACTAACACCGTCCGGCACATGCAAGCTAAGGTCGTTCGCAAACAGCATGTACAGAATACAACTGAGGGCGCCGCCCTGGTATACACCGATCACATTGCTCTTTTTATCAGAAAGTAGCATCCTTCCGTCTGCGCACCGTACCTGCACCTGCTGCGCGTGGTCGGCCAAATAGTCACGGAACCATTTGGTAGTGATGCCGTAGAGAGACAGCTTTTCTAGCAGCTTGTCATGCGGAACAACGTCAAAACATTTAGATAAATCGAGAAGTACTAGAATACTTATCTCGCCGTTGTCCATAGCGTGAAGCGCCAGATCGGTGATCACGTGCAGTGCGGTTTCAGTGGAACGGAATTTACGGTACCCGTGTTGACAATCGGAGAGCAGGCAATTGTCCTCGAGATAAGCAATGAGCTGCGCCTGTACAACGCGCTCGACAATTTTCATTATTGCTGGCAGAATCGAGATGGGTCGAGTATCGGACGGTTCGGTGGCAATTCCGGCTTTATTCAGGACTTCGCAATGGGTGCCTCTCGTCATAAACTCTGTCAAAACGGTGCACAATCCATCATATAAGGCCTACAAGAGTGTCAGCTCCATGTAGGGGTCAATCAAGCATAGGTCAGGGTCAAGGTCAGGTCAACCTGGTAGGCACATATCCCCGAAAATCAAAACTGATATTCGCAGCCTGTGACACATGTTTTACGGGTAATTTGGGGCGTAGAACACGATGGTGACATTCATTTTATCATATGTGTACGTGTTTGGCTCAAAAACTTGAATTTAAGAAATGCATGTGTCATGGTGGTGAAGAAGTCACCAGAAATTGCCCAGATTTAGTTCAAGATTTTGGAAAATGCGGAACGATAATCAATAATCAAAGATAGCCATTTGATTGTTCATGGTATTGGCAGTCTAATGGCGTTTACGGCATGTCTGTATGTCTATTCTGTGATTTTATATGATTTTTTGAACACATGCCGTTTTTCGTCGAAAACTCAGAAATCATGACGTCATTAAAACTTCGATATCTCAAAAATTTTCGGACCGATTTTTTTGAAACTTTGTCACAATAGACTTCCATCAATTCCCTACAGGTACCAAGCGTTGTTTTTATGCTATGGCTCGGCGAAAAAAGTGGGGGCGTTTAACGCCCCCCCCCCCCAGTAACTCGCGGGATAAGTCGCTAAATCCTCCACTTCGTTTGGCACGAAAAACGATTTGAGCTAACGACGGGAAATTTGGTATTTCCTTAAAATTCATTGGGAGTATTGTGCCAAAATGTTATCTTCTTTTTTTGCGCAAAAATATATCTAATGCCAATTTATCGGGAGCATGTTTTCGTCAAAATTCCGCTCTAAAAATCATTCGCCGCTAACAGCCAGTCTTTTTCTCTTTACAGTAGGTACCTAATGTAGCTAAGTAAGAAACACACACAAAAGCGTGCCAGGCCGGTGATCGGCGCCCACCGCGCCGGATCGTAGGAGGGGGGGGGGGGGAAGGGAGCTTGAAACCCCTCTACCTCGACCATGGGTGGAGAATGTTTGAAAAAGTTACCCCGGCCGGCGACCAAAAGTCGCGGATAGACGATATGTTCATATTGCCATCAACCACAGATAACATCAACAAATCCCTATTCTGGAGCATGGAATATTTGAATAATGAATGTTGTATTTGTTCAAGACATCGAATCATTCATAACATTTTTCGGCATGATTGAAAAGGCGTTTTCTTTTAATCATCGACTTTTTTACTTTAAGTTATGCAATTCCACACCATACCTACCCAAGCCATATCATATACCATTATAGGTAAATAAACGTTGCGTTTTCAGCTTTTTATTGTGTCTCAAATCAGCTACAAAAGATTAGAGCTCACCTCGAAGAGCTTTCCATAGAAAATTGAACATTCGAATCAAAGCACTAAAGCGGGTCACTGGCATCCAGGGACGCAAGCTTTTCAATGTTGAACGGCTCAACCTCACATAAGACAAACAGGTAGTGAACCAGGGATGTCGACCGGTCCTGGTCGACTGGTCTCGTAGCTCAGTCGGTAGATCGTTGGACTCCGCGTGGTGAGAGCACGCGTCCCGGCTACAACAGTCCGGGTTGGAAGCACGACGGTCGCTCGGTCATTATAAGCATCCTGACGGGTATGGTTGCTGTTGATGGCAGGACAGTCAACGTCAGTGAGAGGTCGTGCGCTGCTTTGTGCGTACCTTCAGCTTCGGACTCTAAATCTGCCATAGATCAGGAATTGCGTGATCGGAAGGCAGAGGGCAGGGCCAACGCAGCAAACTCCTCTTAGCGGGGGCTCTGTCCTGTGTATTCTTCCATTCAAAAGGATCGAGTCCTTTTTTCAATCCCCTTGGCTCAACCTTGGCTTTTTGTCTTGAAATAGTGCGCCGAAGGTGCGCCAAATTTTCGAAACCGAGTACGATTTGAGAGCGAGCTGGGAGTTGGTGACCACACGCGGGTCCTATAGGGTTGGAACTTACGGTAAGTCAAGGCCCTATATACCCGGTAAGTTAAGTAAATACCTACACGTTTTGCAATATTACGCCTATGGCTGTCCATATCCGAAGAACGGGAGTTTTTTTTTCTCGTATGATTGGAGACAGTTTTTAGGATTTACAGAGTGGAAAGTTACCCCGGCCGCGCCGGGGTTGGCTGAAAGTTACCCCGGCCACGGCCGGGGTGGCCGGGGCAGGTTCTCCACCCATGACCTCGACTTTAGAGAGAGCGTCAAAAATAATGAGGAAGTACCTCGGCCATTTTTTAGGTTGGGGGAAAATCAAGTCACCAGAGGTCATCAACAGTCCAATTTCAGGGTTCAGGGCACTACAGGGTGCGGTCGATAAATTAGGACAACTTTGAGAACGCTATTTGGCAAATAAACTGGTGAGCGAGTAGATATTTTAACCCGGCACTGCCTGGGCTATTTCCGTACCCACGACAGCCTGGGAGGGGGTCGGATCCGACCCCCCCCCCCTGCTATCTCGAGAACCAATGGTCGTATCGAGCCCCGCGAGGCGGCGTTCGAAAGGTCTCTACGAGACCTTCCCAAAGCACTCTTAAGATTTTAAGATTGAGGTCAACTTTCGGATCAAGGTCAGGTGAAAGGTCAAATTCTGGGGTTTTGCATGATTAGGCTTACGGACAGCGGAATCGATAGCTGCTGCTCGAAACTCACCAAAAATGACCTCAAAGACCTAGTGAATGTACCATGTGCGTATAGGGGTCAAACTAAGTACGGGTCAAGCAAGGTCAGGTCAGGTCACGAAAGGTCACGGTTTTCACTTTCTGCTACATGGGCGTGCGACACATGTTTTATGGCTTATTTTTCACGCCGAATCCGATATGGTTATATGTGACCCCAAGTCACTGTGCTGGTGATAAGTGTGCATTGAAAGCATCAAGAATCGTTTAATACCATACATAACTAAACGAGGGCTAAGAAAAAAGTCAATTTTCAACTTTTTATTTTTGATATAAAAAATGCACTTTTAAGTTGTAATTTGGGACATATAATGTTCTAATAGAGCTCTATAACATATATTCCGTTTTTTTTTTGAAAATCTCAATATTTTGAATTTTATAAGTGTTTTCCAAAAGAAATATAGTTTTTTGAATTTTCAGGGGTAAAAAACGCATTTTATGGAAAATCCGAGATTGCCATTTTAAAGAACTCGTTGAGCTGCGTCTATTCATGTTCTTAATTTGCAATTTGCTTTAAACCTTGATTTTTGGCGATTTTTTAAACATTTACCTTTTTTTGACTGAAAACGCCATGTAGTTACATCACTAAAATCGATATATCTAAAAAAAAATTGGAAATTTTTCTTAAAAATTGCACAAAAGACGTCAAATTGATGGGGGAGAAGGTATGCCAAGTTTCAAGTTGATAGCGGAAGCGGTTCATGAGTTATTCAGGAAAAAACGGAGGGAGGGTCGGATCCGACCCCCCCCCCCCCCCCCACCAGGCGGTCGCGGGTTAAGGTGTGAGCTTCATTAGCTGTTCGTTCTCGGTCTTTAACCTGAATTTTGCAATGATCTGTGCGTTTTGAAGCACAAGAGAAGAGAAAAAGGGCGCCCTTGTCGTTGGGCTCCGCGCTGGGAGGACCACTGGCATTTGGCAAAATAGTAGAGTTCAACAAAAGCCCCAGAATCCTGTGTTATCGGATTAATAAGGAGTTTGATGGAAGGGTGGTGGGCGGAGAGAGCCACGATGAAGTTTCTGTGCAAAAGAAGGCCCATAAGAGAAGATGGGATTCCTTCAGGACTCCAGCCACTGTGATGGTGCTGACAGTCGTCTCCAATGAGCGTGCATTTAACTATGCCGTCTTTCTTCTTTAACCCTAGAACGCCTAGGGGGGGGGGGTTGTATCAACGCCCCCCCCCCCTGAGGTTTTTTCGAAGTGCACGCTAAACGGCTTGTCGTAGCGGGCTGAAATTTTCAATACCCTCTGGTGCAACCTTTGCGCATCTTTTGCCGAAAAAAAATTGATCGGGTCATGTCAGGTCACGGAGTTATGACGTCATAAGAGGTACAGCCTCCGGCCGGATTTTCACAAACTGAGTGCCAACGCCCGAGGTTTCCTGCCGGTGGTACGGACATCGGTTGATGGATCGTGATGAAACTTCCCATGCATGTTGGGGCAAGTATTGGCTATCATATGGTATAAGAAATTTGACCGGGTCAGGTCAGGTCACGGAGCTATGACGTCACAAGAGGAACAGCGTCCGGTACTATTTTTGAAAAGCGCCCGAACCACTATTTTGCTAATTCTTGTCACCTCAATGGGAATATGCAGCAATATTAGCTTCTATAGGGAGCAAATGGACCTCCCAAATCCAAAAATACAATCAGATTTCAAAAATTTAAATTTTGATTTTTCGAATTTCTGCCGCCGACTGTGACCTTGCCGACTTCCGGCGCTCCCAACGCGCCATTTTTAAAGCTAGGGAAACGAAATACATACCAAACGATAGAGAATTGATCAAGGAACACGATAGTGAAGGTTTCAAGTCGATATATCCCACCGTTTTGCCGCAATCGCCGCCGAAAGTTGAAAAAAGTCTATTTTTCCGAAAATTTGACCTTTGACCGGTCAAAAGTAGGTCAAATGTTGACCTAGGACCAAAAAATATACCACCAATCGCGAGATCTCGTTGAGAGCAATCCGTTGGTTTTTTCCGCTAAGCTCTACGACCTTCCGTTTCGAAACGCCAGGGGGGGGGTCGTAACAACCCCCCCCCCCCCCTGGTCGTTCGTGTTATGAGAAATGGCCTGGTCGTGCGAGGGTTAAGGAGGGCCTGAGGGTCAATGCTGATGCGTACAAATATTTGATGGACACAGTGGTAAAGCCATTATGAAGGGCGTTATTGGAAGCCGTCACTACGCCTTCCAGCAAGACGGAGCAACAGCCCACACCGCAGGGCGGGAGGAAAACATGAAGGAGCTCCGGCCAAAAAAACATCTGGCCCCATAGGCAGCTCCCCTGACGAAGTAAACGATCACTTTCACATCACTAAATCCTCCCTGAAGATCAAGATGACCGAGGTGATGGCTTTCCTGGACAAGGCCATGGTGGCCAGCGCGTACAAGCGGTTCTGCAACCGAATCGAACGTGTCATGGAGGCTTAAAGGGGATTCATCGAGTGAGACAGGATGTGGACATAGCAAGGAGGAAGTGTGCCAAATTTGGAGTCAATATATTCATTTTTGTAGAAGATATGACGTTTTTTGTAAGACATGCACGTTTGTCCTAATTTATCGCCCACACCCACTATAGCATCGACAGCAAAAGGCGCATTCAACAGCTCCTTAACCTTTCTTCCCGGAAAAAGTAAGTTCTTTCTGGAATTTTGAAATGCGTCAGTTTCTAAAAAAGGTAAATATGCCCTTCTCTCACTAGACATTAAGTTACGACACTCGGAGTTCTTCCTAAAAAGTAGCACGCATTTAAAGCACACACATGTTTAAATAACGAAATCAAAGACGATTGGCAAGAAGACTCGGAGCGGAAAGTTCGCCGGCGAAGACAAATTTGGCAAGAAGACAAATTCTTGTACGCTTCAAATTTTCAGTGCATTTTTCGGGCTTAAATTTATCAAAAGCATGTAATTATGAATATCATTTTTAAAGAGATAAAATAAATATCATAACAAAAAACATTACAATCTCATACGAATATTTAGTGGAATAAGTTCAAGCACAATTAAATGCATTTTCGAAATTGCTAAATTCATAGCACTGAAAGAGGCTAAAAATGGCAGCATTGACATCAAAAGAATCCGAAGACACAGCACTGGAATCAAGAGGTTATACGCTGGGTAAAAAACTGGGTCAAGGCTCTTATGCTAAGGTTCGAATGGCTGAGTATAGAGCTGGCGATAAGGTTGAAAAATTGGCTTGTAAGATCGTGGATAAAAATGTGGCTCCCAAAGACTTTCTAGCGAAATTCTTTCCTCGAGAACTGGATATAATTCCAAAAATGGACCATCCGAGCGTGATTAGAGTCCACAGCATACTGGAAAGAAACATGAAGGTAAGTGTGAAGCAGGTCATTGTCTCAGGTAGCAGCTAAGAGCACTCCAAAGACACGGGCAAAAAGGCGCAAACATCACAAAACGGGCGAGTTTAACGAGCCCGGCACTATGATGCTACCAAGGGGGGGGGGGGCTAATGCATTAGAATGCCCCTCTGAATGTGTGACGTCAGCGCAGATCTAACGATTATTAAATCTTTTACTAAAACATTTGGTAGCATGCGTTGGTATATTATGCTTTGCGCGCAACAAGTGCCGCACTTTCAAATAAAGTCGCTAGGAACAGCGGAGATCCCAATAAGTAAACAAACGTAAAAGTGTAAAATCTTGAAAATCGGTGAAAATGGTTTGATGAAATTTGGTAGATATTCGTTTTCGCTCTTTCTGAACCGAGCGACATGCCAATTCATTAACTTTTTTAAGGTGAGAGGGTCCCTTTAATCGGCCAACCAGAGAATTTCGACTTGTCCGCTTGGTATTTATCAGTGGACGCCTCATAATGTACCGAAAATAAGTACCTCGCATCAAGATTCGTTACGTTCAACCTGCCTAACAAAACACAAATATTGATATAGGTAGTAAACATAATTTGGGAAAGAGGATAGCTCTCCATAACGGCAAATGTCGCCCTCCCTCATTTCAGGTGTACATATTCATGCAGTGCGCCGAGAACGGCGACCTGCTAGAACATATTCAAAAGAACGGCGTGATCCCTGAGGCGCGAACTCGTGCCTGGGTCCAGCAGATGATCAGCGGACTTATCTATCTGCATAACCTCAACATCTGCCACCGCGACCTCAAGTGCGAGAACGTGCTCATCACTAAGAACCACAACCTCAAGATCGCCGACCTGGGCTTTGCACGCTACGTGGTGGACGCCGAGGGAAAGCGGGTGCTGAGTCACACCTACTGCGGCTCGGCCGCCTACGCCGCCCCGGAGGTGGTCAAGGGCACGCCCTACAACCCGAAGATGGCCGACGTCTGGTCCATGGGCGTCATCGTATACATCATGGTGAACGCGTCCATGCCGTTCGACGACAGCAATCTCAATAAGATGCTGCGCGACCAGTTGAACCGCAACTGGAGCTTCCGCAGCAAGGTGCGCGACAAAATGTCGCCCGACCTAAAGACCATGATCACCAGAATGATCGAGCCGGACCTCACCAAGCGCTTCACGGCCGATCAGGTGCAGCAGTGCGAGTGGATGAACAGATCTTGAGGGTCACAGTCGCGTCACACGCGAAACAATCAGCTAACATTTCACAACTTCCTGATGGTACATACTTTTCGGCTCTAAATAACCCCAGTAAATACTGCGAGATTAAATATACCATGCAAGCGGTAATGCTGCATGAATTAATAATTGTTTGTAAGCAATAATTGATAGTTGCTACACCTCGGTGGGTTCCCAGCACAACGCGAACTGCTCGGACGAGGCAGACTGTCAACTTCCTAGCTTACAAACGGACAGCGGAAGAAACTTAGACAGGGGGTCACCACACTTCAAAAAGGGGACCTTAAAATTGAATTCAGTAGGCACGCTTTGACTGGACCCCATTAGCGTCGCCACGGGGGGGGGGGCAAGCGGGGCAGCTTGCCCCCCTCCCCCAACCTCGGACCGGGCACCCCCTGAGATCGATACATATCCGATGAGATTTTGGAGTCGGGGAAAAAATGGGGGTACCTTTCTGAGAATGCCTGTGAGGTCAGACTCGTTCAAGCCAGAGTCGGAGTCGCAGAAGCCAACATTGTCAATGACGCCGACTCCAGACTCGGAAATGTCAATACTGTGATTCATTTCATGTTCCTAGTTGGTTCTTTATTACATTTTATAGCTGATTTTCATAAGTTTTGAAGTGCTGATACAAAATTTGCGTTCAAAGCGTGACACTCTTCGGGCCTTCCTCAACTCTCGTCAAATGCCTGCGACAGACTCAAGTACCGTTCAAGTGCCACAGGGCTCATGACCGCTTACTTTTCACACAGGCTCCGAAGGAGCTCCACTGAGCCCCAAGAAGCCTTCAGAGGGCCCAAACCGGCCTCTGAGAGTCCCACTGGTGTTCATATTCTCTGTGGGCCCACACAGGGATCTTTGAGGACCTCACACATGCGTAGACCTCTGAAGGGCCACACGGATCTTTGAGGATACTTTCAAAATTTTTTGAGAACCTTAGGCCTCTGATAGCTCAGCCGAGCTTTTGAGGCGACAGATTTTGCTGAGCCCATCATGTATATCATTCGATGCGTCTTGACGAGCTGAACACAGTGAGACCATCCACGCGTCTGTATCTTGTTCCTGTACGGAGTTATTGGCCAAAAACCGCTGGTGACCTTTGATGACGTCACATGACCTCACAGCTGCCCAACAGCAAAACAGACCTCAAGGTAGTGAAGGTTGATCGTATATGAAGTCATGTATGGTATATGGGGCCATTCCGACCCGTTTTAGTGGTAAAAACAGGGAGTTGATTTTTCCCCCATTGACTTATAATGGGGAGGTCGCGAAATTGACCTGACCTTAGGTCACCGATATCAAAATTCCGAGATAAACAAATTGTAGCTACTAATGAACTTATAACATCCTGCGACTTTCAAAGGCCTCCGACATCTACTGTAGCTCTGGCACGGTGACAAAGTTGCAAAAAAGTGACTTGAGGTTGGGTCATTCAAAGTGACCTGGTGACCTGACCTTGAAAGGTAGGAGGTTCAAACTTGCACACCATGTGTAAAATTGATGAGGGAATAGTCGTACTAAATTTTTACGCGCCGCGGTTTTCCCGCTATTTGCGAAAAACCTCAGGGGGCGGATATCCGCCCCCCCCCCCCCCGTCGGTGCGCGGGTTAAAAAAGGCGCTACTTGATGTTCGGTTGGGCAGAGCCTAGGATGATGTCACAGATTGGTGTTTGCACGGGCGCAGCCAGGTTGGTCCTCCCTCCCCCCCCGGCCTTGATGGTCAGTGATACGTGATTTTTTAAGAAATTTATTTTTGGCAGCTTTACAAAATGAAGTGGCCGAAATCCGGGGAGAAAATAGGATTTGGGGGTAGGTTAGGTTCCGCGGGCCCTATCCTAGCGAAAAACCTAATGGGCATTTGCCCCCCCCCCCCTACACCTTTCAGCTGACCCTGGATCCGCCCTTGAGCGCGAGTTATTGGCGAAAAGCAGGAGGGGTGGGCGAAATCCCCCCCCCCCTTCCACTGCGCGTGTTAAGCGTGAGCCTTGTTAGAAAAAAGGCAATTTAACATGGGAATCCTAGGGGAAGTAGTTTTTGAGCCGGCGCCCATTTGGTATAGTGCTACCAATTGTTACTGGCTACCAGGACTGCGGAGTCGGAGTCGGAGTCGGTCGGAGTCGACAGTTCTGACCGGCATCGGAGTCGGAGTTGATTTTGGAAATCGGAGCCGGAGTCTGAGTTGTAGTCGGAGTCGGAGTCGACAGTTCTGCCCGGAGTCGGAGTTGGTTTTTGGAAGCCAGAGTCGGAGTTGGAGTCACCGAAAATCCACCGACTCCGTCTCCGCAGCCCTGCTGGCCATCCCTGATCCTAAGGCAGGTTACCTGCCTATCATGGCGAATCATCCTCCACCCCTCTGAAGCGAGGATACAACGGATAAACCATTTTTTTTTTTTTACTTGCACTGTATTTGCACATGTGGCACAGAACACCAACAATGCCTATCTTTATCACTGAGTCATTCCGCTCTTAACATAACGACGTGTCACACTTCACATATCCGATTGGCGGTAGCGGAGCGCTGGCGTTCCGCTGGTCGCCTGGCCCACCCAGTTCCCAGGCGCGGCCGGCCCCCGAGTCACCGGCACTCAGCTGCGCATGTAGTACTCGATGGCGGCGGAGAAGACGGCGAACCCCGCGCCGCCGAGCAGACCCGCCTTGGCGCCGGCTGGAACACGGACCAGGCGGCCGTCACGGGGGCGAACAGCCATAATTAAATAATACGAGGATTACGCGACTCCGCGATTCCTACGTGCTAGCCCACACCAGGGCACTGATCGCATCATCACGCATCGAGGCGAGAGGGATATTTGGGCGCCCCAACCCTCTAGCTCTGCTCCTGGACCTCGCAGCGACAAGCCGTTAGCGGCTGTTGAAAAGTCGTCACAAAATCACGTACTTCGGTTCTTTTTATAGGTAAATTCATACGCCAGGTTATCACAAGTCAGTCCACCATCAAATGTTGAAATTTTTGCTCGAACATGACCTCAGTTTGACCTCAATAACTTCTGACCTAAGGTGACCTAAGACTTGAAATTTTGTGTGAAGGTGTCAAATTGATGCCCGGGAAGGCACTGAAAATTTGGTGGCGCGCAACCGTTTTCTTGCTATTCAGGAAAACACAGGGGTGCAATTTGTCCCCCCCCCCCAGAGGGACGAGGATTAAGCTGGATAAAAAACCAGATACACCTACCGAACACACACGGTTAGACATTCTATCTGGAACACTCATTCAGTCCTCAAAGTCAATAGCCAGCTTAGAGGAGGTGCCAAAATTATGCACCCCTTGCGGACCGCCGACCAGCTGCGCTCCGTGGACACCGGTTTTGTCTCACTATTTTCCGCTGGTTATCCTCGTGCCATGCTCCGGGTTAACCCTCGCCAGACCTATTGGTTTTCTACATACGCGTCGACCGAGGGGGGGGGGGGGGTACTACCTCCCTCCCCGCTTCGCCCCTGGTGGAGCTAGCGCGTCGCGGAAAAAACGAGAATGTGCGCCGTTACGAGACGCAGAGATTGATACCCGATTTTAGGGTCCTAGGTCAACCGGTGACCTCTGAAGTCAGGTCAAGTGCCCCAAGGTACCGTTCCGTTTTTGGTGAATAAATTCGCAAAAAAAAACGGCCGCAGAGCCGCGATTTTGGCAGCATCGTGTTCGCCTCGCTCAGGCGCGTCGAATAATATACTTTTTGTTTGGGTGAGGTCTGAGCGAGGCGAACACGATGCTGCCAAAATCGCGGCTCAACGTCCGTTTTTTTTTACAGTTATTCACCAAAAACTCGAATCTAAATATCTCGAAATTAAAACATTTCTCGATGTTGTGAATTACCCAAACCGGTAAATGCAAGCTAGGGACCCCAATTTCGTTATAGCAACTCAAAACTAATGTTAAGGTGGGATGGGGACTTTCACCTTCCAGGCGGTGGGGGGAGGCATTCCCCCCCCCCCTTTAGTTTTTTATATATCTCCAGAACCGCTGCGCCGATCGTCACCGAACTTTCAGTACCCCCGTGAATAGCTTTTGCGCATTGTGACCAAATTTTTTTGCAAAGGCTATGATAGGTTGGCCGCTAATGACGTCGGAGTGACGTCATTTCTGCCATTTTCGACCCAAAAAATGTTACGCGGGAAGAGCCGTCAGGCCTACAGCTTTAGAAACACAGAAAAATGTTTCGAACATAATAGGTGTAGAATCAACAGGGCTACAAAACTGTTATCTCGGAATCGGATATTTGAAGTTTTTGGAATTTGACCCAATTTGTTTTTAAATATAATAGCCCAAAAATCCAAAGTGTTTTGAATTTCGAAAAAAAAAAACGGAATATATGTGATAGTCGCTACCACCTTTTATCCGCATACCGAATGTTAGATCGATACCTCTTTTTTTGGCCAAGTTATAGCGAAGAAACTTCAAAATTGATGACGTCAAATTTTCAAACTCAATTTTTAGCAATGTTAGACCTCGTAGCGCAAAACAAAGACCACCATTAGACTCCCCGTGACGAGCTGCATCGAATCAATATCCATTTTATGCAAAACTATCAACTTTTAAATTTGACCTCTTTTGACCTGACCTTGACCTGACCTCAACCACAAAGTGACCTAAACCGTACATGATGGTCTTATAACCAACACCATTGGGTTGGAAATGAGAAATTGGCCATAAAACATGCATCGCACAATCTAAGTAAAGTTGGGTTCATGTGTTGACCCTTGGTGACCTGACCTGTGACCTGACCTGGTATTATCAGTGACCTCTAATAGCAACACATGTACTAGGCAACTGACGCCCTATCGCTGATTTTCGACAAAATGCGTTTTACTCGGTGTTATAACGCATTCCCCAGAAGACCCGTGAACGGTGAAAAATGTTATCTTTGACCTGACCTGTGTCGTCATCAGTGACCCCGAGGTCAATGAAATTTGGTTCCCCTCAGCAAATTCGACAGAGCTATCGAAGGCCGTTTGAATTTTACGGATCCGTCTAGTAGTTTCGGAGATACGGGGGGGGGGCAAAAATGCCCTCCCCCACCGCGCGGAAGGTGGCCGGGATGCCCACCGCCTGCCGGGTTAAGCGTTATCACTGGCAGACTTTAAAAAAATATGATTGGTGGAAACTGAGAAAATTGTTTATCGTCAGTTACGTAGCAAATGAAAAGCTATCGGTCTAGCAAAGCTAAATGGCTAACATAAAGAAAGGAAAAGTGTGCCTGGTGCCCCCGAAGCACCAGACATCAAGCATCAAACATCAAACGTCAGAAGCGCTGACTTATTTCCATATGAGCACAATTGTTGCTTGTTTGTTCGTTAACAACAGCGTCACCAATCACCATGCATAACAGCCATCATGTCCAATCAAGTTTCAAGGCAGGATCTTTAATTTCAAGTTTTTTTTTCTTCTCCAGAGTTTCTTCACCTTTCATGACTTCAATGGCCCAGAGGATAGACCGCTTGAAGAGTCACATCCCTCGCCGGCTCTTTCTCACTCACCTCGCAGTCCTATAAGGCCGCCGGTGACGGCGCCGGCGTAGGTGCCGTTTCGTAGGTCATCCTTGGCGCGGTACTGCAACGACAGCGCATGCCAGTCATTGAGCTGGGCGGCGTCGGCACTGGGCACAGGCCGGGGTGGGGGAGGAGGGGCCAGACGGCGCCCGGCCGCGACCCTCGGAGGACGACGAGCAGGTCGATCGTAACGCTGAGCACACTAGGCTGCTATTGTCCTCCGGACGGGAGGGTGCCTCATTGTGGTTGCAATTGGGGCTCCAGGGTTTTCGGTTTCGATCACGGTTTTGGGAGATTGGGTTGTGCTTGTGGTTATAAATGGACAAGTATTGTATCGAGAGTAAATGAACCTCCAGGCGCCACGAATCAAACTATTAAAACAGTTACATTAAAGGCGTACCGGTTTCGTCTATTGACTTCTTCAGCGCCGTTGATTCAGGTTGCCATGGTAACGGGGCAAATTTGGCATGAGTACGCATCTAATAGCTCATTTTTCAACAAATTATTTTAAAAAGCAAAAGACTTGTCGGACCACTACTAAAATGAATTGCAGTTTTTATAAACGATCCGAGTTTTAATCAGACTGGCCTACATAATGTCAAAATCAAGACCTAAACTGAACGGCCCGTGCTGCTATATGTTACGCTCTGGCCCCAAAAGTCGTCACTGGCTTATCACCCAATGAGCGTCGAGTATTGACGTACGCTGATTGGTGGGATTACTGCATTTGTTGTTTAGAATGCTCACGGTGCTGACAGCGCTAACGAAGGTGTCTCCAATTTTCGTAATGTTAAAAGCCCGGAGCGCACCCCCTGAAACGAACTATCGAAAAGTCGTTCATGTTTTGGTCGTAGAAGTAAAAGGGACTCCACCAAAAGACAGCTCAAGGCAGTAATCATACCCCCCCCCCCCCCGTAGGGCGTGTTATACGCAGACCCCAGTGGGGCGCGGGTTAATATTGCTTGCTGTTTTAAAGTACCATGAACCCATGGCAGATTCACAGCTGTTTATTAGGTCGAACGTTTGACACGATTTTAGCAGATAGCGGTAATTCTTCTCGGATGCATCATATCACCTATTTTAGGGCCTTGGCATCACAATCATCAGCTGTATTTGGCATATGTTGAGGTTTGACGAGTTGGGTATCATTGATACTCTGAGACATTGGGTTACACAATCGTCACTACCCTTAACAATACACAACGTCTTCATGAAAAATGTACGGCCCTCCAGCAAAAGAGTGGTTGGTTAGCCTATTTGCTTTTGATGTACCTAATAACTTTGAATGACAGAGACGCTCCTGTAAAAAGAGTCAATAGAAATGAGAAGAGGCTTCGTGCACACACTTCGGCAATGGTTTTCAACAGCCATTAGACGTACTCATCAATGCAGATCGCTTATTGTGATGTTGGCAACCAACCACTAAATACCTGGAGGGCCGTACTTAGCCCATAAGTATAACGTTAGTTACGATATATTCCGTTGCAGTTTTTAAAACTTCCTCCATGTTAAGCTGCAGGTAGGGGTGCTTTCTGTATAACTGAAATTGTGTTTTTGCTGTATTTCACATTTAATGCCAAATTTCTTTCAAAACTTTTCAAAATTTTCAAAAAACGTTACCAATGGCATTCATCGTTCAATTCCACATCAGCCTAAGCAAAAAATGAAAAAAACAATCAAACGGTTTTCATGGCACAGCGATTTCACTAAACCACTGCAATACTGTCTCAAATAGCCCCACTTTACGGTACTTAAACAACCTATAGTTGGTTTGTTTTAAGTTTGACCCACACTGTAAGCATCTTTTTTTAACACAGCACGAGAATTACTGCCTGAATTAGGTACAGAGAAAACTGGTCAGCCGCACAATCACTACGTTTCCATGACATGTCTAAATCGATTTAGAGAAATGTCACGTGCGTTTTTCTCGGATAGGTACTATTCACCTTATGCAAAAAAACGAGCGTAGATATGGTTTTAGCGCCTATATATATAGGGCCTCTATATAGGGCCTTGGTTTTAGCGTGGTTTTAGCTAGCACCTAATCCTATATTTACATTTTTAAATGCTGCCTTAATGTTATGATGGAGCAAATCCATTTTGCAAAATCGGCTTAACCCGCGCCCTGCTGGGGGTCCTGGATTTCCACGCCCTGCTGGGGGGGGTGTTTGAACACCCCCCCCTTCTAACTCGGCTCCTGGGCCACGTAGCGATACGCGGAAGGCGGCGTTCGAAAGAGCGTCAAAAATAATGAGGAAATCACTTCGGTCAATTTTTTGGTCAGGTCAAAGGTCAGGTCACCAGAGGTCATTGAAGGCAAAATTTCGCCGATTTCCAGGTCGAATGTCGACAATTTCCAAGAAGCCAACGCATAACTCGGGAACCAATAGAGATACAGCGCCGCGGAAAAGCGCATTCGATAGCCCTATTAACGCCCTTTCTGAGTAATTCTCTCAGATTTGACCTAACGTCAACGGTTTTGCCTGCAGGGGGCAAAAACTGCAAAAATAGCCGATTTTTCGGAAACAGTTTTTCTGCAATAACTTTTGACCCAAGCCTTGTACGAGCTTACTTTTACCGGCATCGTGTTCCTCTCGTCAAGACGCATCGAATGAACTATAACTTGACCTTGAAAGGTCAACTTGAAAATTTGACCTCAGGTCAAGGTCATGACCTGACCGGAAAGGGTCATGTTGCATATCAGTCGATCCGTATCGTCGAGCTGAACACATCTAAGGCGTTTTCATCGCTCTAGCATGCCTCTATCAAAAGTTATTTGCGAAAAACTGTTAGATACCATTCGTGACCTAAGATGACCTCAGGGCATAAACAGGGGTCATGGACACCATTTTCATGTTCAGTGTGTCTAAACCACTTGTAATTCAGTGTTTGGGAGTGTTTATAATGTCTTTCGTCCAAAGGAGGCGCATTTCAATTTTCTCCCATTGACTTATAATGGGGAGGTCGCAAAATTGACCTGACCTTAGGTCACCGATATCAAAATTCTGAGATATACATTTTGTACATGCTATTGCTCTTAGCAATGGCTGAAAGTTTCAAAGCGATCGGTCACTCGGTGTAGCTATGACAGACATTGAAACTTTTTATGAGGTGAGGTCACTTCAAGTGACCTGGTGACCTGACCTTGAATGACCTTGGTCTGAAATTTTCACAACATGTGTAGAATTGATGTATGATAAGGTGTACCAAAAACGGCGGCGCTCCGCGCCGCCGTTTTTGAGATATTCGCGAAAAACCACAAGGGGGGGTGTTCAAACACCCCCCCCAGCAGGGCGCGGGTTAACTTGTGTCATGGAAACGTAGCCATTGTATTGGAGATGTTAATATTTTCCAAAATTTGAGCACCGATGATGTACCGTTATGTTAAACGCGGTGCGATTTATTCAGTTCAGTTATCATTCCTGACAAATCGTCTATCCCTGTGGCCCCTGTGGGGTTGTAAATATGGGCAAATACGGGCAGACAGTCTGGGAACTAGGAGCCAGGAAAATATAATTTTGATAAAGTTCACGGTGACTATAAAGTTGATCGTCAGTGAAATTCAATATGCGCCAACCACTTTTTCTCAGTAATTCAGCTAGCAATTCTCGTGCTGTGTTCAAAGACACTTTTACAGTGAGGGTCGAACTTAAAATAAAATACTACAGACAACTATATTTTACTTTAGTTCGACCCTCATTGTAAATATCTTTTTGAACATAGCGCGAGAATTGCTCCCTGAATTGCTTAAAAACTGGTTAGCGCACATTGTATTGGAGATATGAATGATATTTTCCAAAACAAGTTTTGAACGCCAATGATACTATCTTTCTGTAAACGAAATGCGATTTATGAATTAGTTCAGTTACCACCCCTGACAAGTTGTCTATCCCTGTGGGGTTGTATATATAGGCAAATACAAGCTACGAGTCTGGGAAATAGAAGCTAGGAAGAAATAATTTTGAATAAAGTTAATCGTCTGTGACATCAATGTGCGCCGACGCTAGCAATTCCCGTGCTGTGTTCAAAAAGACGATTACAGTGAGGGTCGAACTAAAAAAAAACGAACTATAGAAGTTTTTATTACATATCATTAGAATCAGCAGTGCTTGAGCAATCCAACAATAGCGGAAACATGCCCATGCCTTTCAGTTCGTCAAACCCTGGCAATCCCTTTAAAACAACCAACACACTCACAGTACACATGCCACCATACTGTGCACTGTGCAGTCACAATAACCATACTCACCGATTCTATACAACACTCCACACCAGCAAACATGAGACCGATCATGCCAAAGTTCTTGGCATACTGCAGCATGGCTGTTCGCATTTCTACCAGAACCTGGTGGCAGCGATTCAGCTATATCACCATTCACCAGGCACATTGTACACTGTACAGTGCGCACACGAGGTCCATGGTAACAGTGCCAGTGAATAACGCATAAGCCATAATTCAAAAATATGCTGCACTGAATGAATAGGGGGACCGACAAGACAGGTTAACTCTAAATCAGCCATGTGGACAGAACCGTGAAAATGGATCTGGGATCTGATCCCTCGCATCTTCACATCAGATCTAGTGTGATCAAAGATCCAGTTCTCTCTTTTGTCGTGATATCTGTTTAGCATCATATATTGAGATCTATTTTTGTCAAGAGATCCGATGAGATCATGGATTGTTACTTAATTTTCGTCGACAGAAGTCCTCAAGGAACTATTAATTCGCAATAGTGCCGTTCTAGGGACCTTATGTGATCGCACATCGTTATTCATAATTTTGTGGCACTTACGGACAAAGAACAACCTGAAAACATGGCTTCACAAGTTATGTGTGTTGGGATACACTCGAATCACAGATCCCCATACATGGTATGTAGTCAGATTCTATGAAATCATACATCCATAACATGTTTTCCACATGGGACCCAATAGGATCAGACAACTTTGTCGATTCTTTGAGATCCATTGAATCATATTTCTATCACTCGCATTCATGCACATCTGATCAAAATCATTAAATGATTGCACTAGTCTCAAATGGAGCAGCCACTGAGAAACTGTAAAAAGCAGACATTACGTATATGTTACAGTTAGTATGCGAAATCCGTTAGTTTGCAACGCAACTAGTTTCGTTGCAAACTACCTGACCGACCAGGTAGTTTGCAACGAAACTAGTTCCGTTGCAAACTAACTGACCGTCCAGTTAGTTTGCAAACTAACTAGTTAAGATGCAAACTACCTAGGTACGTTGCAAACTACCTAGTTACTTTGCAACGGAACTAGGTGTGTTGCAACGGAACTAGTTGTGATGCGAAATCGACGAGGCAGTGGCTCTATTTGTCGGTTATATTCAACTTCTATGTAAATTTCAACAACGGTTGTTAAAACAAAGCTGTGTTTTTCTAACGGGTGACACTAGACATAAGACGGGTGGTCACATTTAGGATAGAAACAGTGAATTAATCGGATTCGACTACATAACGTTACGATCACTGGCGGATCCAGAGGTGGGGGCGCCCGAAATCGCTCCGCCATTCACGCAGCGCCCGAAAGCGACAAATGTTTACTTATTATGAGAATGAAACGAAAACTGAACAAATTTTATAATCAAATACTTGTTTTAGACTGCACAGCCGTGTGTAAGGATTGGAATCAAAATCCGAAAGGTTTTTGGAATTATGAGAAACTTTTTTGGGATTATGTCTCCCGCAACGTTTAAGACCATCTTTCTGGAACCGCTAGTGATCACCATAAATGCGAAGACATAAGCGGAAAGAAAGGTTCCGCTGCCGATTTCAGAATAGGGGAAACCCGGGAGGTATGGGCCCCCCGAAGGTATGGACCATCGCAGTTTTGAAGAAGTGTTACGTATTTTTACACATTTGACCGCGTAAACTAGTAGCAGCCATTCCGTTATACAACCCACGTGATTTCCGAATTTTTTCCAGTCTTCCTTGGTAATGAGCGGTGATAAAGCGTTTTTGCCCTCTTCGAGTAAAATACGGTACATACAAAAAAATCGTGATAAATTTGGACAAGGCTCTACCATAAAGTTTGAAGCATGTAAATTAGTACTGGATAGACAATTTGAAGCTTTGTTGTAAGATTATGAACTGAGATGCTACGCACATTCTGGCGTCCTAGCCGAGAGGTTCGGGTCACCCACCCCTTACCTTGAGCTTACCAAAATACTTATGTGCCCAAGTGACCTCCATGAAGTAAGCTGCTGACCGCTTATGCGGTGGCTCTAAGAGAGATAAAAAAAGATACCAGCTGCGAGCATTGTTTTCACTGTCGAGAAAAGAATATGAAACATAGCACCGGCCCATACCTCCCGTTGTATTTTGATGGATCGAAAAAGCGCATGATTTATTGAAAGTTATCTCGAGACAAAATAGTTGGTCCCAGATGCCTAATATCAGGCACACTTTGCAGGCGAAAAGCAACTTCACGTATACACAGAGTGAAAAACCGGGTCTAGCCACTGCCCACTGGAAGAAAATTGCTTTTACACAAAACCGGCCCATACCTCCCCGGTCTCCCCTATTCCAGAACCGCGCCGCTGGCTGACGAGCTCCTACCTCCACAACCGATCAGTCTGTGACGCAGCCTGCCCTTTGATCATTGGCTGTTACCGAATGGCTCGGCACCGCTAGGTCACCTGGCTAGGCAAGTCGCAGTAGCAGTCGGCCGTTGAGACAGATTCTTGATCGCACGCTTACCCCGGACCACGGGCCATGGGACAATACAGTTCAGTTCTGTTCTGTGCGGCGGCGGTGGTGACTGGCGTCAGTGAGTGTCGCAAAAAAATCAAAATCGCAAAATGCCCCACGGAACTGCTCCTCCTCTGGATCCGCCAGTGATCGTCACATTATGTAGTCGAATCTGGTTAATTCACTGTTTCATCCATGAATGTAACCACCCGTCCTACTCATGTCTAGTGTCACCCGTTATAATAACACAGCTTTGTTTTAACAACCGTTGTTAAAATTTACATAAAAGTTTAATATAACCGGCAAATAGAGCCACTGCCTCGTCGATTTCGCATTACAACTAGTTCCGTTGCAACACACCTAGTTCCGTTGCAAAGTAACTAGGTAGTTTGCAACGTACCTAGGTAGTTTGCATCCTAACTAGTTAGTTTGCAAACTAACTGGACGGTCAGTTAGTTTGCAACGGAACTAGTTTGGTTGCAAACTACCTGGCCGGTCAGGTAGTTTGCAACGAAACTAGTTGCGTTGCAAACTAACGGATTTCGCATACTAACTGTAACATATATATGTGAACGATGGATGCACTTATAAAGAGAGAACAAAACCTCCATTTTTAACACTCGGCCCTATCGGCGTTTTTGCCATTAACCAAGGGTCGGTTACCTTTTTTTTGGGTCCGCGCCGGATATGAGATTTGGAAGCAGTCGGCAGTCCGCAAGTTCATAACTTTACCAGGGGCGGCTCCAGAGCACTGGGAATTGGGGGGTCCTATTCGTGAAGCGAGTCATTTGGGCGAAGATCACGATGCTGCACCAGTTTTACGAACAGTGAATGAAAGGTATCATGTGATAACATATACAGTTATTGTGCATCCTCTTTTGACACGTTTTTGCTATAATAGGCGGATCCAGGCGTCCAAAAAGGGGGTTATGTTTTACCTCCCAACATAGGTGCCCTGACACCGCCTATGGATGACCAATACAATTGTAGTCGTTCTCTCATAAGAAAATTGTAACATAATAAGACCATTACCACCCTTTTTAGAAACAGTACCAACAAAAACCTTATTTACTATACTTTTTGTGTACCCCCAATCTCAATGATCTGTATCCGCCTATGATTTTTGAAAATGCATATTTTTAGGATCCATGTGAATTCCTGGTTCATTCTCTATCGATCGGCAAAAGTTGCGTTAAGATTGGTTCAGAAACCTGGCCGTGATAAACAGTCTAAAATGTATCTGCAATTTGCCCGTTTTTACCCCCCTCTACCCCCCCCCCTATTGACATTTTTTAATTTTTATTTTTTAGAAATGTAGATCACGTTGAGCGAAATCGAATGCCGTTTGAATTTTGAAAATCGGCCGGTTAGATCTCGAGATATCAAGGGGGGGTCGTAAACAGCCCCCCCCCCCTGCCACTAATAGGGGTAGCCAGGAGCCTGCCACTAATAGGGTTAAGACGGACTCTGACGAAGGAAGAGGCGAGTTTAAAAATAGAAGGAACTAGGGTTACCCTCGTGCTCCGCAACGCGAAGGGGGGATTTTTTGACCCGTGGGTATTGGGTTGGTCTGTGTCGATTTGGTTGGTAGATATCCATTTCGTTCGATTGCTTTTTGACGGCCAAGCATTTTGTAAGAAACAAAAAGATACATCACATCGAGGTGCCCGTGTCGTATTATCATGCGTTCTACTTTAGAATGATTCGAAAACTGGCGTGAAGTCTTTTGAGGGCCATCGATGAATTTCGCTAAAAATGACGATGCAATGGTTTGGAAAATTTACGTTTTTAAGAATACTGATGCTCATCATGCAAAAATGAAGACTTAACCTTGGTCAGAATTGAATGCTCTTTCCAACGGTGCCATTTTTGATTGCCAGATACATCAGATCATGGAGCAAAGCCATTTTGATGAACAAAGTGACACAAAATTGACAAACACCATTTTCTCCCGTGATTTGTACCATCTTGATTTGGATCAATCAGCTTTTCACAATTTTTATATGATAGGCGGTACATTTCTCTTGCCAACAGGCGTTGTTCCAACTCGCCCTGTTTAACGGTCACCTAAAAATAAAATCAATTCCAAAATCCGCCAAAAACCGCAATTTTTCAACAAAAGTGCCCTCCCCGGTGCACGTGGCGCGTGCTATCCTCTGTATCGCACACGATTCCATTACCCATTCAATTATCTACACGATGCTGTTTTCCCCGTGCCGGTCGGACCCCTGGTCACCAAGATATTGCACGGGAACTGGACCCGTGTCGGCCAAAATTAGCCGTTTTCGCCCGATTTCGCACGCCGATTTATACATGTAAAGTCTATGACGCGAATTTGCACTTTTTGAGCACGCGCCACGCGCTCCCTATCAATCCGATCGAGCTGAGACCCCTCAAAGGCACGTCGCGCATCCTTGATCTATAAGTTGTGCAAATTTCAGGGCGCTAGGTGCAACGGTCTGGCCTGTAGTCCACGCAAAGCAGCACCAAGTCGGGACCTCGGTAACGGACAGACGCACCCTCCTCAAATAGTAATATAGACAAGCGGCTGCGCCACTTGCTTTGCTGCGTGGTAGAGAAAAAGCGGCACCAGCCAATTTGCTTTCGAATGGTGTTTGATTTACGTCGATGTGTCGTCTAGAAGCGGAGATATGGACGGAAATGTAAAGAGAAAATTTTGAAAAAAGAACTGCTCTGAGGGCGTTGTTGGATGAAATTTGGGTGATACGGGGTCAAGACGGGTCAAAGGGGTCAGCCCCGGTCACTTTGGGTCAGGCCAGGTCATATAGGTCACCTCTCGTCCGCTGGGATCAGCCCGGGCCACTGTTCTGCTTTTGCCTCCACCACTACCCCTACCCCTACCACTACCCCTACCCCTACCACTACCCCTACCACTACCCCTACCACTACCCCTACCACTACCCCTACCACTACCCCTACCACTACCCCTACCCCTACCCCTACCACTACATCTACCCCTACCCCTACCACTACTACTACCCATACTCCTACCCCTACCACTACCCCTACCACTACCCCTACTACTACCCCTACTACTACCCCTACTACTACCCCTACCACTATCCCTACCCTTACTACTACTCCTACCACTACCCCTACCCCTACCGCTACCACTACACTACCCCTACCACTACCCCTACCACTACCCCTACCCCTACCCCTACCAACACCGCCGGGTCATGTCAGGTCACAGAATAATTGGATCCAATCAGTACTAAAATATCAGACTTTAAAGGAAATAGTTCACTTTCACGAAATTATTTTTTTTGCAATGGATTTGTGATTTTTTATGTTCAAAATGATCAGCAAAGAAAATAAAACCTTTTTACAGCAAAAGATTATTTTCTATATTTTTGATATAGGAAGAACTTTTCAGTTTCTGTAAGGCACCGCGATCCAGTATGAAAAGAGCATGGGTCCCGAAAATTCTTCAGAACTAGAGAAATTATCGCGGCCACCGGCATTTGGGCGATCTGCTCGTGCTTTTGTTACTGGAGCGCCTCACTGGAGCGAATTTCTCTAGAGTTCTCGTAGATAATTTCTCTACTTTCTGAAGAATTTTCGGGACCCATGCTCGTTTCATACTGGATGCGAATATATGCAAGGCACACATCCTCAACGCAAGACACATTTTTCGGGACGAGAAATAGAATATCTTTGCCTAGGGTGATCGTTGGGCTGTAAAAGCTCCTGATTTATGCTCGTCTCAGCCCAAGCTACGGAACTGCTATTCCAGTTCAAAACCCATGTTAAAATGTGAACTATTTCCTTTAAGTGTTCCCAGCCCTGCCCCTATTCGTGCCATTCCATTACGCTTAATCGTATTTGTCGGAAATGGCGTTTTGTGGCATATGTGGCGCATTGCGACAAACGCGGCGCATTTTCCCCCGGCGATTGAGCATGTATCTTGGCACCAAATTGCACCCATATCGGACTATATTTGACAAAACTGTGCGATTTGCGACGAAGATGGAGCCTTGGGACAAATGTGACGCATTGCGACAAACGCGGTGCATTTGTAAATTCCTATCACAAACTGTTGCCATTCAACGAAAATCTACACATCTCTCGCCACTATTTATTAAAATTAAAAACTTGCCCATCCGCCAATGCGAGGCACTCGCCGCCGATCGGCATGCATTTAGTCCACAAAGTTTGTCGACCCCGGCTCTCAATGAAGATATAAGAACCGATCAAAATTTCATTGGCGTTCTTCCAGCGCGCCCCACGCGCGAACCGTGCACCCCAGCAAGCCGAAACCTAGAAAAGGCGCTGACCCGCTCTGTCACCTAGAAGGTGTGCAAATTTCAACCCCCTACGATATACCGTCTGCCCTGTAGGCCGGCTAAATTGCACTCACTACACGGCGTGGCGGACAGACAAACAAACAGACGGATCCTGTTCAAATAGTAGTATAGATGTTTGCATCTATTTTATAATGTGATCATATACCAGCTCGCCTCTATATTATCATTCTGTTTCTAGGCATATGAAATGTGTGTAGGAAGAAATATTGTGCCAACACACACTTATATGTAGTCACTTTGGTACGGAGAAAGTTTATTTTTTAGAGAACCGTGGGCCAGAACACGATGTTGATTGCTGATACCGGCCGCGGGCCGGATGTCCGATGGTTCGTGGGCCGGATTCGGCCCGCGGGACGTAGGCTGCCGACCCCTGCCATTACCGGATGGGGGAGAGGGGGAGGGGGCCAGTTGGACCAGGGCTGCGGAGTCGGAGTAAGTCGGAGTCGACATTTCTGACCGGAGGCGGAATGGAAGTCAGTGTCGATTTTAGACCCCGGAGACGGAGTCGGAGTCGACGAAAATCCATCGACTCCGCAGCCCAGCGTTGGACCGTCCACCCCCCCCCCCCCCTCCCAAACCCACCACCATCCAATCGATCGACCCCTGATCGCGCTGGAATTTCGCAGCAAAAACGGGCGTTTTGTCCGTGACGACAGGAATCCGAGGATACCTAATCTTAACCCGCGCCGGGCCGGTGCTCTGAGATTCCGCGCCGGGCCGGGGGGGGGGTGTCTGAACACACCCCCCCCTTCTAACTCGGCTCCTGGGCCACGTAGGGACACGCGGTAAGCGGCAATCGAAAGAACGCCCAAAATAAGGACGAAAATACTTCGGTCATTTTTTGGGTCAGGTCAAAGGTCAGGTCACCATAGGTCACCAAAGGTAAAATGTTCACTATTTCAACATTTTGGAAACTGCCAACGGCTATCTCGTCTGGTCCGGTCAGGTGAGTCGAGTCGGTCAAATATCATGCATCCCGCCAGCTTAGTACCCATAGTAGGTAAATCTGTATTTTCACTACGCAGCATTTTGCATTGGCGCCCCAAACTAGTTTTTCCAGACGTTCAAATGAGTGCGAAATTTAAAATCAGGTAGCTCCAAAACATACCTACCCTAAAAAGTTGTTAAACTAGAAAAAGTTGACTGAGGTTAGCTATGGTCAACTACATTGACCTGACCTTAATTAAAGTGACATTGATATCCATCATAACATATGGAGCACAGACTGGTTTTTGATTCACCTTTTTTGGATCGATTCAATCATTGATTCATTTGATTTTTGTTTGATTCAATCACCGTTTCATTCCTTAAAAAAATTGGTGAATCGATTCCTTTTGATTCAGAGAATCAAAAAACCATAAAAGAATGATTCGCGTTTGATTCAGCCAATTTTTTTTTGAATGATTCTTTTTTGATTCAATTAAAAAATAAAATATACAAAATATCAGGGATAGTATTGTATTTGTTGTGTTCGTTTTGTTGTCATGTAATTGAACAAGTGTTAATATTTGTTGATAATGAACTATGTTCGCTCACTTTAATTTTTTTTAAGTTCATGAATCATTAATTTTTTTGATTCAATCAACCCTCATTCCCAATGCGTTTGATTCAATCAGGGCTTGTGAATCAAACAATCCTGACGGTGAATCAAACCTTTTTGATTCAACAAATTTTGTTTGATTCAATCCAATCGATTCAATCACAGATGAATCAAACACCAGTCTGATGGGGCAAGCATAATTTCACATGCTGGCACGTTTCTAATCACAAGAAAGTCTGGGAACGCATGGAAAATGTGCGCTAACATGCAGAACCGCCATTTTGACCTGACATTCTTTAATCCATAATTGATCTAATGCATTAGCTCCAAACTATTCCAGGATACTGGATACCTCTCTTGCAGTCTGACTCTTCAATTCAGCTCCAGTTATTGATGGGTTCACACTGGATGTGAAGAGACCCAGAGCTCCACCTAGGCCAAACCCTGGAGAGAAAAAACAAAGAAAGTAAAAAATGAGACAGCAGTGACAGTATTTCTAGGAAACAAGCATCTAAAAAGTATCTGTCTCCTACTTCATCTGCTCAATTTATAACTTCCTAACTAACACGCATACTCCTAGGGGGCGTTCCACGACAGATCGACAAATAAAAACCTAAATCTGCACCCACGTATTTTATTTTTCGTTTAAAACTGGTCCAAGGGGTTGTGATGGGCGGGGAAACCAACTGTGGCAAGATTTTTTTTTCTTCGAACAACGGTTTCCGATATATAGCCTCGGGCAATTCCTGGAGGTCACGCTGCAACCCTATGTTTGGCAGCTTATAACTCAGAAACTATTGGTTTTCTATGATAAAAACTGACAACTGTATATGGTTCAAATCTCAATCAACAAACGAGCATTTTGGCTAGCTCGGATGTTCAATTTTAAAATTTTGATCACGTGACCTTTTGACCTATTGTTCGAAGAGTGACCTTGACAGTTTCCCCACTGAAAGTTGCAATTTCGTCTGTTGACGATTAAAGCCTTATCACTTGTCATTTATATGCGATAATAAAAGTGGCTATCACCCTGCGTTGACCTCAGGTCAGGTCATTATTTGACTTGTCCATTATTACGAGCGGGTGCGACAGCGAGATCTCGAGAACAAAGCGATATAGCGACAAGCGGTAAACGGCACAGGGTACACACGGATAGGTCTACAATTTTTACTGAGGTCATTTTCAGGTCAGGTCAAAGATGACGTCACAGGGGTAAAAAGGAAGTCGAAATAGCGCACTATATATATATGATTTTTTCTCGAATAAGTTTAACAGTATCTCAGCTAGGAACAAACTAATAACACCATCGCGATCCTCTCGTCGATCCGCATCGAAACATATGTATGTTGACCTCAAAAGGTCAGAGTCAAAAGTTGATCTTAGGTCACGTGACCTAAGGTCATCATATATCATTCGATGCGCCTTGACGAGCTGAGCACAATGAGCCCATCCGCGCATCTGTATCTCGAACCTGTAAGGAGTTATAAGCAAAAAAAAATATTTGGTGACCTTCAATGACGTCACATGATTACGAGCGAGCGAGCGCAGCGAGCGAAGTGATTCTTTTCAATATAACGAAAAAATATCAGTATGAGCGGCCCGGCCACGCCCGGCCTGTAACGCTTTTGAGAGGCTTATATCTCAGCAACCGCTAGACCGATTGGCCTGCGGTCTTTTTTGCTGGGTAGCCCCATCCCTTCCACCCCGTAATTGACTACTTTTGATACGTCTCAATGACCGTCGTGGCACGTGCCACGTGAAAAGTCAAGGGTGTTCAAGCTGTTTTGCAAAAGCAGTGGTTTTGAGAGGCTCATATCTCAGCAGCCGCTTGGGCGATTGTCTACCCCCACTGCACGTGCAAAATGCAAAAAGAAGAGGTGCCAAATTTGTTCCCATTTCAATAACTCGGTAATTACTGGGGCAATTTCGCTGAAACTTGGCATACAGGTAGCACCCACCAGGCAATACAATCCCATGTGTTGCGGTTAAGGTGCTACTGCACGTGCGCACGTGCAGGGGGCGCTTCCTTGAAAATCAAAGTACAAGTTTGGGGGTGAGACTAAATGCTTACTTCGAAATCTAAGCTGTGTTGCGGCATTGGCGGTTATGTGCGGCGTGTATGCCGCATGATTAGTAAGCAGCGACCACTAAATTAAAGACTTAAACGCTCCAACCTGTTTTCAATGAATAACACTGCATACCAAAAATGCCAATCGCTCTCGTCGTAAGATATTTAGATTTAAATAACTAAGTTATCTGCATCATCATTTTGAACCAAATTAATGCTTTCAACTTAGTACTCACTCATTCCTTCCTTCGTTGGCTCCAAACAGTCTTTCGATTGTCTGGAAATCGTATGCCAAATCCCGCACCTGTATACGACTGGTGCATATAAAGGCCGATGTAAGAATTTCAATAGGCTCTCGCATGCGATTTCCTGGCTACCCAAAAAGTCTGTTTCAGTCATGCTATCAAAACATGGTATGTCAGCCCTGTCACCAGCTTATGACTGCTCTGCTTGTAGTGCCCCTGACCGTCACCGACCCCCTTCCTTCCTTAAAAGCCTAGTTTCCCTCCATCATCTCTACTAGATTTAGGTAATGCTCCGACAAATTCACAAACAAGACCGAACTTGTTCGGAGTTCTGACTGTCAGTTAACCCTCGCCCTTTAAGGGGGGGGGGGTCGAACGGACTCCCCTCGGTTTTTCGCGAATAACTCGCGTAAAAAGCGGCCGATCACGACGTTACTTTTAGTACCCTCGCGTTGATCAATTTTACACCTACCCTGAAAATTTCATGACCCTGACGCAAATAACCTTTGACCTGTGACCTACTTTTCGAGACCATGTTTGGCCGGAACCGCGATTCAGCGTATGTCGGCTCGCATTAGCAGCGCGTTTGCAGTCTTTTCGTAGTTTCAAGCGTTTAAACATGTGATACCAGTATAACGCCTTTTGGGGCGACTAACGGAGCGAGCGAGAGGGTGGGCCTTGCACGTGCGAAATTGCGAGGGGGTACCTCCAACTGACTTGTGCACGGCACCCTACTAACTGGTCTCTAGCGATGTGCCAAATTTGGGCACAATCGGCCCAGCCGTTCTCGAGATCTGGAAGCGGCACCCTGCACGTGCGCACGTGCAAAATGGGTCCCAACTGACTTGTGCACGGCACCCTACTAACCGGTCCCTAACCGTGTACCAAATTTGAGCGCAATCGGTCCAGCCGTTCTCGAGATCTGGAAACGACCCCTGCACGTGCGCACGTGCAGCAGCACCCCATTTCTGGCACATGTATATGCAGTGCCTAGTGGGTGCCTACCTACATGCCAACTTTCAGCGCAATCGGCCAAGTAGTTACCGAGATATTGCAACAATTACAAAACTGACACCTCTTCGTTTTGCACGTGGCACGTGCATAAGGGGTAACCCACATGCATCGGGAATAGTCCAATACTTGGTAGAAGGAATGAAGCTACCCTACAAAAATTACCCCGTGTAAATCGGTCAAGTGGTTGCTGAGATATAAGCCTCGCAAAAGCGTGACCACGGCCGGCCGGCCGGCCGCTCATACTCAGAAATTTCCGTTAATCTAAGGAAAGACTACGCTCGCTTCGCTCGCTCCGTAATGATGTTGCCCCAGGCATTAGGGTGGGTGTCAAGGTCACCTGAAGGTCAGGTCAGGTCACTGACCTTTGGTGACCTCGGTTCACTTTTTCGAGTTTGACATGTTTCTAGGCCAGTTTTTCGAGCTGAATTCGAATTTAGCAGCCACATGAACGTTTACAAAGTAGTTCTGGTGCCTTCGTAACATGTTACGAGGCTGTCAGAGGCGGTTGACACCTACTACAAATACCCGGCAGGACCTCTACTGGTTGACCTGACCTGACCTGACCCGACCAGGCCTAAATGAATGAAAACATCTGTGATCAAAACTAGCATGATATTCGTGATCAGCACCCCGAAAAAACCCATAGCAGCCACACTACGACGTTCTAACAGTTCCCAATTTTCCCTGACCTGACCTGGAAGGTCAACCGATGACCTAGGACCTTAAAATTGGGTATCACCGGCTTCCTCTCGTCACGGGCAACACGCTCGTTTTTCCGCGAAGCTCTAGCTTGATCAGGAGCGAAACGGCAAGGGGTTATACCTTATACGTTCGCGGCTGGAAAAACACCAATACGGGCGAGGGTCAAGTTGAAAGTATTAATTTGGCTGAAAACGATGATGTAGATAAGTTAGTTATTTAAATCTAAATATCCTACCAGTATAACGCCTTTTGGGGCGACTAACGGAGCGAGCGAGAGGGTGACCCTTGCACGTGCAAAATTTCGAGGGGGTACCTCCAACTGACTTGTGCACGGCACCCTACTAACCGGTCTCTAGCGATGTGCCGAATTTGAGCACAATCGGCTCAGCCGTTCTCGAGATCTGGAAGCGGCACCCTGCACGTGCGCACGTGCAAAATGGGTCCCAACTGACTTTTGCACGGCACCCTACTAACTGCTCCGTAACCGTGTACCAAATTTGAGCGCAATCGGTCCAGCCGTTCTCGAGATCTGGAATCGACCCCTGCACGTGCGCACGTGCAGCAGCACCCCAACTCTGGCACATGGATATGCATTGCATAGTGGGTGCCTACCTACATGCCAACTTTCAGCGCAATCGGCCAAGTAGTTACCGAGATATTGCAACAATTGCAAAAGTGACACCTCTTCGTTTTGCACGTGGCACGTGCATAAGGGGTCACCCACATGCATCGGGAATAGTCCAATACTTGGTAGAAGGAATGAAGCTACCCTACAAAAATTACAGTGCCAAACCGACTGTGTGTATACAGACTTCTCAGCCGCCTTTCAGAGTGTCAATCATCGTCTTTTAATTCACAAACTTAAAACGTCATATCACATATCAGGTTCGGCACTGAGCTGGCTGACGTCATACCTCAACAATAGGCAGCAGCGCGTTGTGGTGAACGGGAAGTGTTCGGATTGGTGCTGTGTCACATCCGGCACCCCGGAAGGCGGCGTAATTTCTGCTCTGTGTTTCGCGCTCTTCATCAACGACCTGTCTGTTGGGATGTCCTCCCGGGTACTTCTTTTTGCTGACGACGCCAAAATTTATCGCAAAATAGCCTGTCCAAAAGATGCAACAAGCTTACAAGCAGATCTTGAACGTCTGCACCAGTGGTCGAAAACTTGGCATCTCAGGCTAAACCCATCAAAATGCAAAACGTTCAGAATGACTCTAAAAACAAAACCACTGGTCACGGCATATTCAATCGGAGGCACGGTTTTGGAACATGTGAACGAAATTCGAGATTTGGGCGTTATTTTGGACACAAAACTTACATTCGGACCCCACGTTCATCAGATGGTATCAAAAACAAATCGTGCTTTGGGTGTCCTAATCAGATCGTATCAAAGGGCTGCCCCGGGAGGACATCCCAATCTCAATGTATCATCTGTCATGGTATCATACTTCGCCTATGTTCGTTCCAACATGGAATACTGCAGTGTAATTTGGAGTGGAGCCGCCGCAGTGCATCTCGACAGGATTGGCCGGATCGAACACAAGTTTTTAATGTGGCTGAACGCCAACTGTCATCATCGCTCAACTTCCATCTCATATGCCGATTTGTTGAAACATTTTAACCTCACTTCCGTATCTGCCAGGCTGGTGCAGCACGATATCATGTTTGTTCGCAACGTGCTTAGAGGCAGAATTAAGTCCGCACTCTTGCTGCAGGCGTTCTCGCTTAGTGTACCTATCCGCGCAACTAGGCAACAGGCGAGTGCGCTGCTGCATGTGCCATTTGCAAGGGTGAACGCAATGAAAAACGGTTTATTTACAAGGCTGCCGAGGCAGCTCAACCGGCTTGTAGAGAGACTTCCCGCGGTGGACGTGTTCTGCGACGGTATTTTCACATTCCGTAGCAGCGTCAGACATTTTGTGGCGGAAATGTGACGCTAATGGAAATGCCTCGCTGTATTCGATGTGCCTGCCTGGCAGGTTCATTCATTTAATTTACTAGCATTTTACTGGCATTTTGTCGTCATCCTTGTTGTCACTTATCGCACTCTATTGAGTATTCTTATTCTTATTTTTATTTATACCCTCTATCTTTTATATCTATTTTTTTTAATTTTTTTACCGGCTGTATATTTATTGGTCTTTTATTATATGTATACCTACCCGAGTGTGTCGTTTTTGTACCTATGCATGTAACTTATTCGTTTTAAAAGTGCGACTTCGTCTTTTAATGGGTCCTCCCGTCGGCGATATGAATAAATAAATAAATAAATAAATAAATAAAATTACCGCATGTAAATCGGTCAAGTGGTTGCTGAGATATAAGCCTCGCAAAAGCGTGACCACGGCCGGCCGGCCGGCCGGCCGCTCATACTCAGAAATTTCCGTTAATCTAAGGAAAGACTACGCTCGCTTCGCTCGCTCCGTAATGACGAGAGCGATGGTCATTTTTGGTATGCAGTGTTATCCATTGAAAACAGGTCAAAGCTATTGAGTTTTTAATTTAGTGGTCGCCGCTTACTAATCATGCGGCATACACGCCGCACATAACCGCCAATGCCGCAACGCAGCTTGGATTTCGAAGTAAGCATTTAGTCTCCCCCAAGTTTGGTACCCTCAGGGTATCTAAAGCAGCTGTTCACGAGCGTGTAAACCAAAAATGAGCCTGATCTGACTTGTAAGACGGCGGCCAGAGCCCAAATTGTGAACAAGCCAAACAACGATAATTTTTATTTGACCTGACCTGTGACGTCATCAGTGACCTCAAGGTCAATGAAAGTAGGTTGCGCCAGACAGTTTTTCCGGGGCTATTAGACGCAGTTTGAATTTTGACGATCGGCCCAGTAGTTTCGGAGTTGGGAGGGTGGTATGAATAGCCCCCCCCCCCCCCCAGGAGGCCTGTTATACAGACCCCAGTGGGGCGCGGGTTGAGGAAAATCCAGCAGGCGGCTTTTTTCTGTTGGTAAAACGGGTAAAACCGGCCTCTGATTTTCCCCACGTTCGATGTCTCTTAGACGACGAAGATTCTACGCCGTCCGGCCATCCCGTTCAAGGTCAGCGGGGGCCCGGCTGCGGTTATGGACCACTGACATTAATAAAAGCCCTCTATAAGGTTACTATAGAGGTTAATGTTATGGAACGTGATTGGCCGGGCGACGTAGAATCTTCGTCGTCCTAGAGACATCGAACGCGGGGTATGTTTCGTTCTATGTTTGCCGTGAAAAGACATATGCAACGCATCGTGAGACGTTGGCGATGTAGCATAATGATACACACCCTCATAAGCAAAAGACAAATCAGTGGGAGCGCTTGATCTGAGAGAAAAAGTCAAGGTCCTTAACACAAAAAGTATTGAAAGTACTGTAGAAAAGCATTGGAGGAAAAATATTGAAATGACACACCCTTATACCCAATTAGATAGGTAAAGGTTTAATCTTAACCTGAGTTCAAAACAATGTTGAAATGAGTGAAAATAACCTTCTACATTGTCAGGGATAGGTGGTAAGTAGGTGCCTAGTATTAAATCAATGTTAGCACTTTAACCTGACCTGCAATGCCACTGATGCCAGCCTTGAACGGACAGCTTTCAAAGAAAGCTTGCACCATCTTTTCTTCTCTTGTTTTGATGTATGGAGGAGTCAGAATAGTAGGTACTTGAATATTCTCTCTATATCTTCTTGGATTCAGCATCATGTATTTACAAACATCATCCATCTTTTCCAATGAAAGTCCATATACTGATTCAAAAACTCTTGCATCTGTACTAGTGTAATGATGTTGACCAGGAGCTTCTCTGATGTCTGAAATCATTGTAGCTGCAAAGGCACAAATTTTGGCATGTGAGGGTACTGGGTAGAACTACCATTTGAATGAGCAAAACAAAGGTAATGAGATCAACACAGAACATATGCCTTTTAAAAGTTCAAAGAGCCACACAAAACATCCAAACCAAAGTCATTTTAGTCAGGGATCATGCCTACCATAATGAGGAAAAAAATACCTATGTACTCCAGTCTCCAATACAGATATCCAAGGCTGTGTCAATAAGAACACCCAAAACAAAACAAATTAGATATAGTTCGTTTATTTTAAGTTTGCCCTTCACTGTAAACGTCTTTTTGAACACAGCACGAAAATTGCTAGCTGAATTACTGAGAAAACTGGTTGGCGCACATTGATTTCACAAGAATTCACAGACGATCAATTTCATCAAATTTGTTTACCTTCTATTTCACAGACTCATAGCTTGTATTTCCCCATAGCTACAGCTTGAGCTCCACGGTCATAGCCGACTTCTCAAGAATTATGTCTGAACTAATTAATCAGTTGTACGGCGTGTAACATTAACATTACATACCAACCTAAAAACTCAACAACCTAAAAACACATAAAAGAGCATACCTGTCATTTCTAATTAGCATTTAGCAGTATACACGATTTGTGTAACAACACATCTAACAGAAGCATGCAGCCACTAGGTACAGTTTTTTTCAAAAGGTGCTGGCTCCAAGTTCATATTGAAGCTCTGAGCTCTCACGGAGTTTTGGCACTTGGCAGCTTCAGCGCCTGGCCAATAATTTCTTACTGAAAAGAACATTTGATTTTAAATTGTGCACAATAAGTACCTACCCAGAAATTGTTCATTGAAAAAATTAACATACTATGATGATGACGTCACTGGAGGCAGCAGGCACCCAATGTCGGTACGATGGGACAGTGTCAACAAATTTGGGGAAAATTTGTTTTTCGCTGTTGCCGAGGTTATATTCAAGTAAGCGGTTCCGTGCCTCCATGCCTCGTCCATAGGCGTAATGTTAAAATTATGCCGTTTGGGGGGGGGCAAATGCCCATTTTGCCCCCCTGGATCCACCACTGCATATTGATATAGAAATTATCAGGAAGATATCACATGTTTAATAATCAACATTCAATTTTCTCACAGTGCATATGATTTTCTCAGGACGCTGTTCGGCAGCCGGCTACTTTGTGTGCAGGGTATGACTCATTTCGCGAGCGATGTCACAGGTGGTGACGTCGGCTCGCACGCGAGCAAGCGCCAACGACAAACTAACGGAAACCCTCGGGGCATAAACCGCGGAATAGCATATTGAGCGAGTCTTATAAGGGAAATTCATATATTTTCGTTTCTCAAATGATAATCAGGGTGTCTCTTACCTTTTACGTATCATTTCAATTTGGGCTTACCTAACACTTCAGTTGCCAAATATCTGCAATTTATTCAAACGAAGGTATTTTCAGTAAATATCAATGCTATAGACCGAAATCTTTTGAATAAAAACTTCAACCAATAGAAATAAAAATAACTTATTTTATTCCAACCAATTCCTCCAAATTAACAACATAAAACTCACTTTTACACACATCATTCCTTGCATCAATGCATCATTCATAATAAAGCATACTAACACTGTACCAACACTGTCCCCACGTTCGATGTCTCTCGGACGGCGAAGATTCTACGTCGTCCGGCCAATCCCGTTCAAGGTCAGCGGGGGCTCGGCTGCGGTTATGCAACGTGATTGGCCGGACGGCGTAGAATCTTCGCCGTCCGAGAGACGTCGAACGCGGGGTGTACTAACACGCCGCTTTTGACAATTGCGGCGTCGAGTGGCACGCTGCTAGCGCTCTAAGATAAAAAAAGCTCTTTTTGGACAACACTATTCGACCGCCACCCTTGCAGCCATTCTATAACTCAGGAACTACTGGACCGATCGGAACGAACGAAACACCATTCGAATCACGAGGTATGATTTTATCAGCCGTTTCGAAGCTCGTGACCCCAGGTGACCTCAAGAGGTCAACTCGGCATTGACGCCTATTGCAGTCATTCTATAACTCAGGAACTACTGGGCCGATCGCGACGAAAACACCACCAGTCGAATCAGCGTATGCAATTTCATCAGTGGCTGAGAATATGGTGACCTCAGGTGACCTTGGTGACCTCAAAAGGTCAGCTTTACGTTTTCGCCTATTGCAGCCATTCTATAACTCAGGAACTACTGGGCCGATCGTGACGAAAACACCACCAGTCGATTCAGCGTATGCGATTTCATCAGCCGTTTCGAATATGGTGACCTCAGGTGACCTCGGTGACCTTGGGAGGTCACATGACCAATGTGGCCTATGGCAGCCATTCTATAACTCAGGAACTACTGGGCCGATCGTGACGAAAACACCACCAGTCGATTCAGCGTATGCAATTTCATCAGCCGTATCGAATATGGTGACCTCAGGTGACCTCGGTGACCTCAAAAGGTCAACTTTACGTTTTCACCTATTGCAGCTCTACGCCCGTTTCAAATGACCCCGATGCGAGGGTCAATTGAACCAGCCCATGGGGTCAATTGCACCTATCCTTTATCAATGGGATGTTTTCCTCTTTAAGGCCACTTTCTTAAAGGGACCCTCCCACCTTAACATTAGATTTGAGTTGAGATAGCCAAAATGGGGTCCCTGGCTCACAATTACCGGTTTCGGCACTCACAACATCGAGAAATGCCTTAAATCGGAAATATTGAATTTCAAAATTGCAGCATTTTGATTCAGAGGGGCTAATGCTTAGGAATACCTACCCCTCTGAATGTGTGACGTCAGCGCAGATATCTAACGGTTTTTAAATGTTTGACTAAAACGTTTTGTAGCACGCGGTGGTATATGCTATTTGCGCGCAACATCTGCCGCAAACGCCGCACTTCTAAAATAAAGTCGCTAGAAACAGCGGAGATCCCCAAAAAAGTAAACAAAAGTAAAAGTCTAATATCTTGAAAACCGGTGAATATTTTTCGGTGAAATTTGGTAGATATTCGTTTTCGCTCTTTCTGAACCGAGCGACATCACTTTCATGCCAATTCATAAACTTTTTTGAAGGTGGGAGGGTCCCTTTAAAGGTAGTGTGCCATCTTTCTTGGACCGTATGGAGTTAATGGCCCAGATAAGGAGAACCGGATTTTTAGAACCTATCCATACCTTCAAAACTCATGGAAACGTCTTAAATTCTTCAAATTTTGAGTACCCCAGTGCGAAATTCGCCCCGACGGGTTGTCGGTCGTACCCCAACCACATTTCACACCACTATGAACAATAAATGCACACACTGAAATCGCTATTACCGATATGCTCATCCAATCAAGTTTCGATAAACCCGTTCATCATCATCTCCTGCGGTTTCGAACACGCCTGTTAGGTGGCTTCTGATGCTCGTCGAGGTCGGAATTTCCAAATACGCGTGGTGCGTCGGGCCGCGCGCTCTGACTTCGGCCAAGAAAAATGCGTCAGCTGATCATTGTCATTTCTGCCACTTGCGTGTGGTGAAATGGGGTCATAACTTATAAGACGGCTTTTTCATATCAATTATTTTACATAAAATCATATTTCAAACCATAAATAATGTTCGACAGCCAAATAAAAGAAACAATACCAATACGGGCTTACAGTTTAAGGCTCGACATTGTGTTGTCTACGATTAGACAGCTGATAACTCATTCCCGTACGTCGTATGGTCGTAACACTATAATGACCTTTGCTTATTGTCACAAGTGCGCCGCATTCGCGATTGTTGCCCGACGCCTGTTTGCAGGTGAGCCCACTACAGTTGTTATACATATCTAAAAACCGAAAAACTTTTAGGCGAAAAAGGCACTATTCCAGGCCCATTTTTGATTTTTTTTGCGATATTAGGTAAAAACAGAAGCTTCTTATCCTAGGAAAAATAAAATGGGAAATCTTTCAAAGGTGGCACACTTCCTTTAACCCTCGCCCGTATTGGTGTTTTTCCAGCCGCGAACGTATAAGGGGGGAGGGGGTCCGTTGGACCCCCCCCCCCTTGCCGTTTCGCCCCTGATCGAGCTAGAGCTTCGCGGAAAAAACGAGCGTGTTGCCCGTGACGAGAGGAAGCCGATGATACCTAATTTAAAGGTTCCAGGTCATTAGTTGACCTTGCAGGTCAGGTCAATGACCCAAAAGTCGGAAAATCGGGACCTGTTAGAACGTCGTAAAGTGTGGCTGCTATGGGGTTTTTCGGGGCGCTGATCACGAATATCATGTTAGTTTTGATCACAGATGATGTCTTCATGCATTTAGTCCAGGTCGGGTCAGGTCAGGTCAGGTCAACCAGTAGGGGTCCTGCCGGGTATTCCTAGGTGTCAACGCCTCTGACAGCTTCGTAACATGTTACGAAGGCACCAAAACTACTTCGTAAATGTTCATATGGTTGCTAAATTCGAATTCAGCTCCAAAAACTGGCCTAGAAACATGTAAAACTCGAAAAAGTGAACCGAGGTCACCAAAGGTCAATGACCTGACCTGACCTTCAGGCGACCTTGACACCCACCCTAATGCATGGGGGCAACATCATATCACATGTTTGAACGCTTGAAACCACGAAAAGACTGCAAACGCGCGGCTAATGCGAGCCGACATACGCCGAATCGCGACTCCGGCCAAACATGGTCTCGAAAAGTAGGTCACAGGTCAAGGGTCATTGGGGTCAGGGTCATGAAATTTTCAGGGTAGGTGTAAAATTGATTAACGCGAGGGTACTGAAAGTTTCGTCGCGATCGGCCGCTTTTTACACGAGTTATTCGCGAAAAACCATGGGGGGGTCCGTTCGACCCCCCCCCCCCCTATACGGGCGAGGGTTAAGGATATATTTTGTCCGGTTTACTTTTCCAAATGCTACGTTCAATAGGTTGTTGGAAAGCTAAAAGTGCAAAGTTCCTTATAATAGGTGACATAAAGTACATAGACTATGGTAAAATGGGCGGATGAGAAAAATGAGAAATATCTCAGGCTATAGTGTGCTTTCAAGCAAAAGGCTGGAGAAAAAGGGGTCAAAAATTGAGCTCTATTAAACTACTATTTCAGTTTAAAAGCTCATTTCAAAGGTGGACTATTTCCTTTAATGTTTACAGCCCCTGAAGAATAACCATTGCAAAGGTCACCGGGGTCCATTGAAACGGCCTGTGGCCCTGTTTCAACTGACCCTCAGAGAAGCGTTTCAATTGACCCCATCCGCTCCCGCCATATCTCGCACGCGCCGTAAAGCACATGTCAAACGAGCTGGAGGGACGGCATCATGCTGAATGAAGGGCCAAATAAGGTGTTATTCCGGAGCCAGGAGTTCTTCTTTCAGCAAACAAAGGTATATGAGATATCACAAAACATTCATGAACGATTTCTCCCAAACGCCCCTAAAAACACAAAAACAAGTGTCAAATCAAAATTACCGTCCGTTTGTCGCCCAAACACCGTTGACAAAGGAAGTGGTCGAGCGCGGATGCGCAGTGGTGTCGGCAACGCCATATGTTGCATACTGTTGAAAATAAAGCCATGTTTCATCTGACCCCGTGTTTCAACTGGCCCCGCTCTCCCCTATCACACGACACTTTCATATTGTGACCCCCAGTGACCTGACCTCTGTGACCTGACCTGGTATCAGTGACCTCAGATAGCGAAGTATGTGTTTGACGAACAATGTACCATCGATGGTTTTCAATAACTTACCAATTTACTCGATTTCACAACACTTTTCTTGAAATGCCTGTGAACGGTGACAATCTGACCTTTGACTAGACCTGTGACGTCATCGGTTTGACCTAGGTCAATGAAATTTGGTCACAAGGTAGTTCCCTGGTGGGGCTATCGAACACCGTTTAAATTTTGAAAATCGGCTGGTAAATTTCCGAGATCTTAGGGGGGCCGAAACAGCCCGCCTCCCCCTACGGGTGGTAGGGTCCGCCGGTAGCCCTACGGGGCGCGGGTTAACCCTCGCCCGCACATGGGGGGGTGGTTGCCACCCCCCCCCCCCCCCAGGTAGTCTTTCTGCTCTGCACTCAACATTTTTAGAGCTAGAAGGCTGATTTTTCGTATAGCTGCTCCTCTATCCTTTCTTGATGTCCACTGAAAATTTCAAGTTTCTGTGATTTTTGGTTTCGGAGATATGACCTTGTTTTTCAGGTCATGTCATGACCCAAATGGCCAATTCTCAACATCTTGCGTTTGCCATGGGCCTTATGAGCTTTTGACACCCTGATTTCGGCCTTTTTTGCCAGTTTTACCTCCTACCTATCATGGAACATGTTGTTCGACGATGTACAGGGGTCAAGGTCAGGGTCAAGGTCAACCTAGGTCACCTAAGATAATTGCGTTTTAGGCAAGCTGAATTTACTTTTTTTGAAGTTTTTTGACTGCATTTTTGGTAAAAGCTTCTCAGATCATGATTTCATGTAATATGGACCCAAAAACAATCGGTGCACACATCAGTATACAGTATACACACAGACACACACAGACATACAAACATATATAATTGACCTTGACCTAACTTGACCTGAAATGACCTCAGCAGCAAAATTCTGGTCGGGTAGTGTGACAAAGAGGTTCTAGCTGGCTTGGCACCAG